GGGATGAGAAGGAGTAGCGTGTTTAGAAACTAACTACTTCATCACTAGGGAGCGGAAGGTCACGCCTCGGGCTTGTTGTGATTTTTTTTAATGATGAGAGCTTACAATTGTGTAACTATTCACAGTTTACCAAGTGTTGTCACATACTCTCTCACACTCCTCACGGCGGTCCTTCAAGGTGTGAGCAGCACTGAGCTACAGATGAGGAAGCTGAGAACTTAGAGGAGCTGAGTGACAGCTCCAGCCACAGTCAGGACGCAGCCAAGGCCGTGCTGATCTAACCATGGCTGGCACACTCTTTGATATTAGGCACCATAGCTATCTGTCAAGAACATGGGGCCCTGCCCGATTTCCTGGCTCCATTTAACTGTGCTTTCAAATCCCCTTGGACGTCTAGAAGTACCCAATGCTCCCCAGCAAGTGTCAGAGAAAGGAAACACAAGACCCCATGTTTTGCCCAGGCAGTCGCTTCACCTCTGTACTCCAGTGTTCACATCTGTAAAATGGGGTTGCTAACAGGACTAGCATCCCAGGCTTATCATGAGGATGAAGTGGGATCTAGAAGCACTGGACACAGAGTGTGCACATGAGAATTGCTCTCTGAAGGCTGTCCAGGATAACTGTAGTGCATTTCTTCCCGCTTCACCTCTCACACCAGCCCTCACCCCCTCACCTCTGTGCACACACACTCTCACCTCTGCACACACACACCCTCACCTCTGCACACACGCCTTCACAGCCTCATCTCTATGTTACACATACCCTTGCCAACAAACGCATTCTCATTTATACATACACACACACACACACACACACGGTCTCACTACCTCACTCCCATGCACACAGAGAGACATACTACCTTACCCCCATCCCTCCTCCCTCTTACCTATACACAGACACACACATACTTGCACACTTGCACATGCATGCACACACACATGTATGCACACATACAGACACACACATGCACACAGACACACACAGACACACTCACAGACACACACGTGCACATGCATGCATGCACACTCCAACAGATGCATACACCCATGTGCAAACACACATGTATACACACATGCATGCCCACATACAGACATGCACACACACACACATACACAGTCACACCGGCACACATATGCATGCACGAACACACATGTATACACACATGTATGCACACATATAGAGACACACACATGCATACATACACTCACACACACATTCACATACATGCACACTCACACAGACACACATGTGCATGCACACACACGTGCATATACACATGCACACTCGCGCACACATACACACACACCTTGATCTTCCTTACTACCTCATCCCCACTCACCCCCTGGTCCCCCCACCTCGTACCCACCCTTTCTTATCCTGACCTTCCATCTCCACCCCTCACCCTCTCACCTCTCACCACCCACCCTCTCCCCTGCACCCACACATACCGTCCCTTCCATCCTCACCCCACCTCTCATTCCTTTACTTTTCTCCCCTCACCCTCCCATCACACCTCCACCCCTTCTCCCCTAAGCCCTTCTTCTTGCGTTCTGTGTGTGAGCACCCGCCGTAGCGTGCTCTAGGCACTGCACATGCACATCCTTTTGGACTCCAGCAGTATGCACTTAATGAGGGGAGGGATGTGGTACAGACACCTTTGCCCTCTCACGAGCTAGCCAAGGCAAGACACTGCAGGATACCCGAAAGAGAGAAGGTCACGTCTAGTCTGGCACATGGGTGGGGCTGACTTCACACAGGATGGGGCCAGGCGGGTGGGAGAATGTTCCCCATGGAGCAGGTGGTTGCAGCTGAACCAAGACAGGCGCAGCCGGAAAGGGCAGTACATCTTCAGGGGATGGTAAGGAAGCAAGCTTGAACAACAGTTCCCTGGAGGGGGGGAGCCTGGAACAGCAGGTGTTAGTGCTATAGGGCCAGCCCAGGGTGTCCTGATGGAGGGAAGGCTGGCCCCTGGGGCACTGCCCTGACTTGGCCTTGCCTTGAGATTGTTCAGAACCCCACCTCAAAGAAGACTTCATGTCTCTAATCCCTGTCCCATGTCAGACCTCCTTCAGTGTCCCATGTAGGTTTGGGGAACCCCCTTGATATATGCTAATTGTGTAACCAGTCAACCCTGACCCAGACTATCTACTTCACCCCACAATCCCCATAGGCGGTACCCCGAGACTAATACCCCATGATCTACCAAGAAGAGATGATCAGGGACCACTTCTTAAGGACAAGAAGCTTTTGCCCACCCTAGCCACCCAGATTCAGGATAAAAGGTCTAGCCTCCAATGTGTGGGGAGTCCATGTTCCCTTCCTGCTGGGAGCTGGCCCCAGAGCATGGCAAACATCTGGGTTACCCAAGAGGTAGGGAGTAAAGAGGGCCTCAATGCTGGTCATTATGTGGGGAGTCCCCTGCCACATCCTGGGAGAAGGACACTGGTTTTGCCCATCTCCTAAGCTTAGTTAGACCCCTGGACCCACAGAGCTTCCAGGCTATCCAATTCAGCCTGGGGATCCCTTGTTCACCAGATTCTGGAAGGTGGAAGTGTATGGTGGAAATCTTCCACTTGGAATCATTCTCATTGAATGTGAGAGGGCAGGCTTGGACGTTCACCCCCACAGCCACGCTTGTGAGAGGGCAGGCTAGGATGCTCGCCCCCACAGCCATGCTTGTGAGAGGGCAGGCTCGGACGCTCACCCCCACAGCCACGCTCATGGTCTCCTTGTTTAGTCCACTTTCTACCTCAGAGAAGAGAACAGCAGAGTCTAGAGCCCAAGGCCACAGCCCTAACTACAGCGGAGTTAGTGCCTCCGTGGAGCAGAGGAACGGAAAGCACTTTGCAAACTCTGTAAAGTGCTGTTAAAATGTACGGTTCTTGTAACCCCCACCACTCACGTTCTTCAGAGCCTCTACTTTGGGGAAGCTACCAGAGAAATAAATATGAACAGGACTGAATGGTGGCCTCACAGACCAAATGGAAAGAGCATGGAATTCCTGCCCTGAAGAGAGAAGCCCAGTGGCTACATACAGATTGTGTGACCTCGGACCTCACTTGGTCTCCCTGACCCTCAGTTTCTTTTTCAGAAACTCGCCCTACCTTTTCCTTTTCAGGTTGTGTGGGGCTCGAGCAAGACAATGACTGACAGTGTGTGCTCTTAGTGAGGCTAACACCCAGTGAGCACAGTGGTCTAAGAAGACAGGTGCAGTCTGATGGAAGAGCTAAGGGCCTGGGGCTTTCAGACTAGTATTTAACACTAAAAGTCACACCCGTCCACCAGGGTCAGAGCCAGCTGCTGACAGTGCTAGAACCCAAGTGTTCTGTCTGTCCACCCTGGCGTGTCTTTAAAGGTAACACCGCGCCCTTGATGCTCAGCTCTCAGACACACTTCGTCAAGGTGTCTAAGGCGCACCCTCCCATCCCCTGAAGCTGACTCAGCCCCCGCCCCCACCCCTGCCCCCATGAGCTTTATCTCCCCTTTCACTCTGTGGGTTCCAAAAGTCTCTTGGCCAGCCACCAGTATCCCCCAGACTTCAGCTTCTGATGACAAAGGAGAGGGCTAGGCTGGATCTGTTTCAGGACTAAGAAGATATTTCTCCCAAAGACGTACAAGAGCTGACTGTCCTCCCTGGGTCATCTGAGCCAGCTCATGGACCCAGCTGGAAATACAGACCAGCCGGCACGCCCTGGTGAATGGGGTATTCGGGTTTCTCTGGAGATCCTGGCAGGCTGCTGTTTGGGAGCGAGAGGCATCATGGTTGGCCATGCTGCCTGGGAGAATCTTCGATACCCTCGATTTCTCCAGGTGGAAAAGTGGTGGAAAAGCATGGATCATGGGACCCTTGAGCCTGCGGGACTTGGAGATTTCATTCAATAATCATTTACTGAGCATCTACTGTGTGTGCCAGCTGCTGTTGAGCACAACATGAAGAGAAGGTTCTAGTCTCATGGAGTCAATGTTCCAGTGGAACCGGAGAGAGCAGGGAAAGATGAACCAGAACACAGACTGGAAGAGCTGTGGGCTGCATGGCGAATTTGGAGGAAGAGTGGGTAGAGATACAGATGCAGGGAGTAAGGTCAGCAGGGCTTGAAGAAGGTGGGAGAGGGAGCCAACCGTGTGGCTGTCTAGACTGGCATCCCCCCTGAGGGCACAGAAAGTGCAAAGCCCCTGAAGCAGAGACATCCCCTGGGCTTCCGTGTGACAGGGAGGGTTGTGTGAGTTCAGGAGAGACAGGCATGAGCAATGGGCAGCTTCAACTCTCATCCCTACTCCCTAGAAAAGGATCTGGCAGGTTTGCCTGGTAATGCTCAACCCTGAGATGGGTGGTCTCTCATCCCAGGGACTGTTAGGACCTATGTTTTCTCCTAGCAGACAGTTGTCTAGACTCTCAGTTACTCAGCTTCTCTGGAGATAACTCACGGGGTGGGAAGTGGGGGTGGGGGTCCCGGGAGAGCAGCAGAAAGGCACCTGGGCTCAGGCGCTGACACCTGATTCTCTTTTCCCTCGGGGAGTTATACTCAGCTCCTCTGAACTGCAGTTTCTCTGAGGGACCTCATCTGTTTCTCCCTTGTGAACTGAGTTTCTAGCAGCATGGCCTCTCGTACCCGTCTTGCCTATTTTTTTTTTTATTTCTTTTGGTATTTTGTTTTTGTTTTTTTTTTTTGTTTGTTTGTTTGTTTGTTTGTTTGTTTTCTACGTTAATGAGGTCATCAGTGGGAAAATGCCTTTTATCATGTAATGGACGAGGTAAAATGTCAAGGAGGTTTTTTTGTCAGTCAGGTCCTTAGTTTGGGCTGCCCACTCCCCTTGACCAGCCCGCTCCTTGAATTGTGTTCTATATGGCTCTGATCCACTTTTCCCTAGCCTCAGTTTCTGTCTGGTCCAGGGCTTCCTGGGGCAAGGCTCCTTCCCGTGTACGCCAGGCCCAAGTCTCACTCTGAGCTGGGTGGATCTGGCCACTCTCCCTCAAAACCTTCTCCTTGCTCTTTCTCCAGGTACAACGGCCCCAACCTGGTTCTGAAGTACAATCGAGCCCAGAATCGGCTAGTGAACATTGCAGTGGACGAGCGCACCTCACCCTACTACGCTCTGAGGGACCGGCAGGGGAACGCCATTGGTGTCACAGCCTGTGACATCGATGGGGATGGTCGTGAGGAGATCTACTTTCTCAACACCAATAACGCCTTCTCAGGTGAGGGTCGGATTGTCGGTTCTCTTCCTGCCCCAGCTACCTCTTCCCTTCACTGACAGCTTTGCTTAGTCAGTCTCCTCTGCCTCCAGGACCTCCCCATGCTGGACAGAGACCCCAGGATGACCCCTCATCTCCTGTGATGGAGTTTGGATTTTCATCCTCGGGACCCTGGACTGGGACAGAGGGGCATGGGAAAGAACCTTCTCCCTCAGACTGAACATCATTTTCTCCCTCAGCCTGGGGTGCCTTCCTCTCCTCTTCTCCTCTCTTCTCCCTTCCTCCCCTCCCGTCATCCCACCTCTCCTGTGTGGTCCTCCAGCTCATCTGAACCACGCCTGGAATCAACAGATGTCCCTGGACTATTCCCTTGCTGTCCTAGGCTGTTCTCAATGCTTTGGAGATCTTCTAGGATTTGCTTCCTCAGTGTTTAGCCTAGTGAGCAAGGGTTCTTCCCACAGATGTGCCAGGCAGAGGCTCTCGCATCAGGGCAGTGATAGGCACATGACTCTGATGAAGGCTGGCCTTGGAGTTCCTGGAGCCTCCTCCAGTTTCTTTCACACTGGCACATGCATCCCGGTTAACTGAGGGTCTGCATACATGCGTTCTGGTTCCTCTGGTCTGGAGGTGAGCCTGCTATTCCTGACTACCAGCTCCTGGGCTACCAGGTGCAGATGGCCCAGAGACCACACTGAGTAGCCAGGAAAGATGTCTGTCAGGCTAATGGTGACTAATATAGAGAACACCTTCTGTGTGCCAGGCCCCAGCCCCCAATCCTCAGTGCTTTATCTCAGGCAGCCTCTCAGCAGTCTGGTGAGGAAAGAATTAGCAGTCTTGCATTACACTGAAGAAACTAGGGTGTTAAGAAGTTAGCTGACTCACCCAAACCCGGCAGCCTTTAAGTCCCAGGATTCAAACCCAGGGTCTCACCTCTCTGTCCTCTTCATCAAGACATGCTACAGCTCTTCTCAAGTCTCTGTCCCCAGGGGCAGAAAGGAAGCCTGGCTTCCATGGGCACTCGGCGTTTCACAAGTTGCAGGCTATGTTCTTGGAGCTGTAGATCGCCCCTACTTTGCTCAGGTGCCTCGTCTCAGGTGAAGGTAGGAGCTTCCCTGGACCTCCAGGACCTCCCCATGCTGGGCAGATGACCCTTCATCTCCTGTGAGGGAGTTTGGATTTTCCTGATCCGCTTTGCTCAGACCTAAACTGTACTCACTAATAAACAATAAACTCACCCCCCGTAGAGTTGTTAACGTTTGCACAGTATCCAAACCATGGCGCCCCCTAGAGGTGAGGTTGGGTATGAACAGGACACTTCCAGATAACAGCCAACTCTTGGTCTAATCTGTGGTTTAGATTTCCACAAACAAATGCTGTCCTGAGTTCTCCAAGGTCCAGGAGGCTATCAAGTGCCTGACTATAGGACCCTGCCCCCCAACACTCCCCACCAACACCCATAGACTTTCACTTCCTGTTGCTATCCAGCATCCCGCCCAGGCAGCTCTCGGAGTTTGAGTTCAGCCAGTTGCATGAATGAGAGGGGGAAAGGTTGGGGCCCTGTGCCAGGGGCAGGGGTGGGCAGGCTGGCTGGCTGGAAGCCAGTCTTGTGCCGCCAAGAAACAATGAGCCACAGCCCTGAGTGGTGTTTTATGGGTTTTCATCTCATCTTGCCACCGAGTGAGGCCTGAGAGATGGTAATTATCCCAACACAAATATCAGGGCATGATTACCCAGCTGGATTTACTGCCCTCTCTCCACCAAGCCGAGATTGGATTAGGACGCGATTAATTGATGGGCTGATCAACTCTTTAATGTGGGGCAAGGTCAGAAAAGAAGCAGAGTCTAGGATGCCTGCAGAAGAGACTGGTTCCCAGGAAGGCCCTGGAATGCCAGGAAGCAGGAATGGGGACAACTGTCCTAATTGTACTCTTCTGGCAAGATGCCAGAGAAGGGACAGCTTCCCCCAAGACAACAAATGCACTGGGAGGGGACCAGAGGGTTGTCTGAGGCAACAGCCCCTCCAGTGCATGTTCTTAGGGTAGTCATTGTGATTCCCAGAGCAAAGGTTCTGTAGAGGTTTTTTGGGGGGGTTGGGGGGGTGACAACCTCCAACTGAGCTATAACAATCCAGCTAGAAGGTTGGATAGGATAGCACCCCATTGCCAGACTGCTGACACTTAACCCACAAGGCCACACTGCAGGCCAAGAAGACTGTGATTCACTGCCTGGGAGTCATCCCAAGTCTGTGGTCAGCCAAACACTGAGTATTCTCCATTGATGCACTTACTGTCCAGACAAATTGCTAACGACCACCTACTATGTGCTGGTGCTGTTCTAAGCACTGAGGATTCCCCCCCCCAGTGCTTTTCCCAGTACAGCCTGTAGTTTCTCTCAGCACCTGGCATCCTCTCCCAGTCCCTGATCTCTAAACCCCATAACTAAGTTCTCTAAACTCCCCCTCAACCAGGTTTGGGATGTCAGCACTAAAATCCTGGAAGCACCTGGAGTCTATAATATCCTCTGGGAGTCAGTCCACACAAACTTTTCTGGGTGACCCTAGGCAAGAGAAAGGATCACTGTGTGACTCCCAGTGACCCCAGCTAGCTCTTTACTACCCCAAGAGCTTAATTAAAGTTGACTAAATAAGTCTCAGGACGAAAAGGCGAGTGAGTCCCTGCCCAAGCAGAAGAAAGCCAAGAGAGATGTCACAACACCACAGCCCAGAAGACCTGCCTCTAGGAGAGACACACCAGAGCACCTGGAGGGGCAGAGGCAAGACAACAGTGCCCAGCAGCCTCAGCCTCAAGTGTACCCCTCCCGATGACCTTCCGTGGGTTTGAGGGATGTCTGTGGGTTTGAGTTAATTTTGTAGTTGAGTGATCCATTGATTCATCAACATGGAATGGGCATGGAGCAGGGACATTTGTGTCACATCAGCACTTTCGTAGGTCCAGCCCAGACAGCACTCAGCTGTTGCCATCCTGCCCTCTGTGAGGGTCCTGAGAGCTTCTTTGAGAGCCCTAGCCAGCCAGTGAAGCCATGTAGCCTTTGGGATATTGACAGTGTTCTCCCTCAGCTAGGTTTGGGATGTTAGCACTGAAGTCCCTGGAAGCACCTGGCAGCCTACAATATCCTCTGGGAGTCAGTCCATGCAAACTTTTCTGGGTGACTTTAGACAAGATCCTGACCTCTCTGTCTTGACTCATTTATAGAACAGAAACCAGACAGACTTCACAAAGTTTCCTGCCTCCAGTGGCTCTGCAGACCATTTTCAAGGTCCTCGGGGTTACCTGCTCCCCTTCCTGGTGCAGCCAAATTGCTGTGCTAACATTTCCCCCCTTTCTCCTACTTACTATAACTTTGCCTCAAGCTCAAACTTGCTGTTCCTCATGCCGAAAATGCTTTTCCCAGGGCTCACTCTCCAAATAAGGCCCCTCAGAGGGGCACCTTATCTCAAATTATGCCCTTATTTCTTTAACTGGCTTATTGCCTTCATAACTCTTACTTGAGTCTGGAAGTGGGTCACATGCTAGCTCTGTCCAGTTCTCATACATTGTCTGGCTCAGCGTTGTACTCTAGAACCCAAAGAGGTGCTTGTCACTTAGCATCCAATATAGACTCTTGTGTGAACAGCTGGGATAAAGGATGAAAAGGATGTAGTTTGCACCTGCATTTGCTAAGCACCCCTGACAGCACAGGGTGATTCTCTGGCCACGGAAGGCCAGAGACTCCACAAGTGCCCTGAGAAGATGGTAGTAGGCTCCATCCTGTCCACAGCCAAGAGATCTTAGCAGCGAAAAGGCTAGGTGCAGGAAAAGACTGGCATTTGAAAGTCCCAAGCTCTCTTGGGCTTGGAGCAAGGCTTGAGAATTGGAGAGACTAACCAGTCTGAAGAGGACTAACCAGTCCCAAGAAGACCATGTCCTGGAAACCCACCTGTGCTGAGCTGTTCTGGGAAAAGACAAGCCAGGGTTTCCATGGGAATTTGCATAGGACAGGAGAGGACAAGAGGCAGCCAGGGCCTCCCTCTGCATCTGTGAGCCGGGGACTTCTTAGTTCTTAGGCAGATACATCCCCTGGAGTTCCTACCCTGACACACCCTGGCCCTGACACCACCTGGCCCTGACTGGTTGTGTGGTAGTAGGTGGGTCAGCACCAACTATGAACACAGCGCTTACTCTCTTTCTACCCATTCAGTTACAAAGATGAGCATGGGATTTGCATGTGCAAGACACTGTTGCAGTCCGTGGTCTTGACCGCTCTCCCTGGAGATTCCCACGCCCACACTAACTTTCTATGACTCTCCTTTGGAAAGTTCACAGCCATGCTTTTGGGTGTGTCTTGACTTCCTTCTGAGCACCTCTGTTTTAACCCTATGCTTAAACCTGTATTAAAATATATCTCTCTTAACCCCCAGCTCTGCTTCACAGACTTCCCCATCTTTTCTGCACACAGCGGGCCCTGACCATAGTTCTGTTGTTTGCATTTTTAATACACTTTGGATATTACTTCACAACACCACACAGAAGGACCCCGCATTCTTTTATGGCTGTATAGTACTCCCATGTATAGATATGATGCTAGTTGAATCACTTCTCAATGGGTGGACACTGGGATTGCTTGCTGCAATTCAATTCCTTTCTCCTTACAAAGAATGTCAATGAATGAGCTCCTGCAACCCACTATTTCCCATGATTACATGGATGGTTTTAGGATAAACTGTCAGAAACAGAGTGACTGTCAAAGGAATACACATGTGTAGCTCAGAGCACCAGCTGCCCTCCCTGGGGGCAGCACTTACCACACTGCTCGGGTGTCTGATGAGCAAACACTTGCCAAAGGCTCACCAACAACATTTCATCAACTTCGTTTTCAGTATTTGCCAATCTGATAGGAAAAAATTGATTTCCAAGAGTGGTTTTAATTTTCATTTTTCTTAAATGAGTGAGGCTGAGAATATTTTTATATATTTGACTCTCTTGTCTACGCCTAGCCTTTGCCCATTTTTTTTTCTATTGACTATTGGTCTTTTTCTTATTGATTTGAAACACCTCTTTATAAATTAGGAAAATTAGCCCTTTGTCTGAAACACACGTTGTGGTTGGTTTTCCCTGGCTTGTCATTTTTCTTTCGGCCTCGCTCATAGTGGGTTTTGTAATATGGAAAACTTTCATTTTTACAGACTTGGAGTTCTAACTCCTCCTTTACAGCTTCTGGGCTGTGTCACACCTAAAGAGACACTCTGTGTTCTGCAGGGACACTCGTAAGCTCCCAGAGAGGAAACAGTGTGTCAGTCACCATGCTAGAGAGAGGATCTGGGCAGGCTGCTCTTCCGGCCTCCTCTGCCTACACAGCAGATGGGCCATCTGCTCTCTGGAGATCCACCTCTTGCCCAGTAACTCCTTCAGCCAGGCTGGCTCCAGCTGCAACCAGAAGCCCTGTGCCTCACTACCCATATCGTGGTGCCTGTGCCGGCAGCTTTGGAATCCGCTGGAAACTCAGAAAAATGCGAGCTTTACCCAACACCTGCTAGCCCAGAACCCATGTCACCATCTCCAGGAGCTTCCTGTGCCCCATAAAGTCTGAGATGTGTTTTAATGCCCGTCATCCTATTCATTTCTGAAACTCCACCCTTTTCTCAGGCCCTGAAATGGATTCTCAGGTCTCTGGATCAACGGCCTACTTTCCGTTAGATGCAGAGTCCTGGTTCTCAGCTGCCCCAGCTTGGATCCATTTGAAAGATGAGCTCAGAAACTGCAATCCCCAGCCAGACTGGGTTGTGCCCCCAACCCATGCGACTGCTGAGCAGCACGACTAGAAAGAGGCCACCAAAGCAGCACCACAGAGTGTGAAAAAAGCTAGATGTTGTGACACATATCTATGCTTTCATCTCTGAGAAGCCAGGGGGAAGATCAGGAGTTCAGGGCCATCCTTAGATACATAGTGGATTTTGAGGATAGCCTGGGTTATAATGAGGCCATGTTTTCAAGAACAAGAATTGGGGACTGGGGAGATAAATCAGTAAAGTGCTTCTGAGTTTATTCTTCAGAACCCACATAAATAAATCAGGTGCAATACCACACTCTTGTAATCCCAACACCAGGAAGGTAGAGACAAGTACATCCCCAAGACCCACTGGCCAGCCAGCCTGCCCAACTAGGCATGCTCTAGGCCGGTTAGAGACCCTGTCTCAGGTAAACAAAACAAGAACAAAGTGGACAGCTCCTGAGGAATGACACCCAAGGTCGTCCTCTGACACACACACATACACGCACACACACATGCACACTCACACACATGCACACTCACACACACACACAACATACACGCACATAGACATGCATGCATGCACACACACACATGCACGAGTACTGGGTCCCAGAGTTCATCACCTTGGTCTTAGCTAAGGACCCAGCGCTTCTCCCACTAGCCTTGTAACACTGGCTCACCAGGCTTTGCCACATCATGACGGTTTGGAGCTGGGCATTGCCATCTGACTGTATCTGTGCAGCTTTACTTAGAGGAGTTGATACCTGAGCCACGATTTATCTGTGTGGCATGAATCTTCTTGGGAAGATTCTGAAGGAAGCTAAGGATGCTGGCGGGGGAGCACTGGCAGGGGGAGCACCAGCAGGGGAGCACCGATGGGGGAGCACTGGCAGGGTTTACCTCTTCACTCTGGGATAGAGGGAGGAAGAAGAGGTCAGGAACTCTACCTGAAACCACGGGGAGTCTGAATTCCTTCTTTTTAAACACATCCTTTGTCTGAACTAGTTCTTCCTCCCCTGGGGCCATCACTGCTCTGCTAGCTCTCCATTGACTAAGTCTTGTGAGGCATTTGAAACTTAATGTCACAGTTGCCTCCTGGGATGTGGTTTGTTGAGGACTGACCTGGTCATGCCCTGTAATTCCCTGGAGGTTGAGGAAGCACTGGACAGAGATGTTCTTAGTGTTTATGGAATTTATCCTGTGTCTGGCATTATTGGAAGCACTTTACAGACATTAACTAACTTACGGTCATAGCAGCCTAATGGAGAGGTAGCCATTCCCATTATCCCATTTCATAGCTAAGAGAGAAGAATAGGTACGCGGCTCCGAGGATCGTCCCACAAATGGATGTTGTTGGCTGTCACAAAGCCACCCAGCTGTTTGGTGGTCACCTCTGTATCTAAAAGTCCCCAAACTTGCCTCTGTGGCACTGACCCCCAGAGTCCCCTCCCTGCCCCATGACATCCTTTTCCTGGGTCCCCATTCTTTCAGACTCCCTTCCAAGGATTCAGGAGAGCATCTTTCCACTTCCCACCCCACCGACAGCCCCTCCTCTTTCTGAGTACTGGCCCACTTTGGTGTGGGACCCTGGGACAAAGTGCAGCTACAAGGAGCCAGGAGGCAAGGCCCACCTCGGCACTGACTTGGGCCGGGGGCCAGTGCTGGGTGCTTATTGCCTGTGCCATCGACCGGCACAGCTCGCTGTTTATCTGTCTTCCTGACACACCTAATTACCCAGGTTGCAGCTGCCAGCGCGTTTGCTCTTCCTAAATCACGGGCTCCCAACCCTCCTGTCGCCCAGGCCTCCGGGCCTCTGCCTACAGAGGGGCTGCCATTGATTTTGCCGTTCCCATTTATGATCTACAAGGCTCCACATCGCTGTTGCACATTTTACCTTAATTAGTTTATTCTTCTGGGCATCTCTGGTGATCCCAGAAGGCACGCGACCAGTGAGGGGGTGGACCAACAGCACAAGATACCCAAATTCTTTGGCTACTAAGCCCCCAAGCCGGCTCAGGCTTCAGCACCCTAGACAGCGACCAGTGAAGCCAGAGACTGCTTAGCTCATGGACAGTCTCCAAAGGGCTCCATGGCCAAGTACATGTGGGAGAGGCTGCGTTCAGTAAAATTAAGCAGACAATTTGTTGCAATCTTTTCAAATTTTTAATAACTATTGAGAGGACTCGGAATTTGGGCTGGTATACAATCTTTCCCAAGCTTGGAGGGTTGTGGAATTCTTGTCCAGGCTATTCACAGGAACCAGGCTTGACCTGCCCAGGCTTTGGTAGACATGTTTGATGTCATTTCAGGAAGTGGGTATGAGAGTTAAGGGGGCCCCAATGTGAATGAGGTGAACAAGGGACGCTCTCTGCTGGGGAAGGCTGGAAACCTGCAGGAGCCATCTTCAGAAGCCCCCAGGCATCTGCAAGCAATGGCAAGCCTGCTGCCACCTCACACGGCCATAGTGATGGCAGCTACAGCACAAGTCGTATTCCACAGATCTGACTCCTGAACGTTTTTTTTTAAGTTTGTGGGAAATTCACTACATAACAAAACCTGTCCTGAGCTGATGTGAGCTATTTATAAGCCTTATTTATCCCACTTAGTGTGAATATTCATGTTTTGCTGCAGAAATATTAATGTGTTTAATTATGGGGTGCCGCCCCCAGTCCCTGCTGGGGGTGTTATATAATCAACAGTGTTCATACCATGCTATCTTTTTAGAAGATGAAGGCAGCATCTAGGTTTCTAAACACATTAGGCCCTCAGGGATTTCAGCGAGGACCTATGTCCCTGCAGGGGTGCAAAGCTGTCACCGTGCTCTCTCACTCTGTCTGACCTGTGACCAAGCTGTATGTGTGTCTTCTCACAATTGCCACAGTCACACTGTGAGTGAGGACAGCTCCTGCATGTCATTCTCGGGTGAGCGAAGTGAGGCTGGAAAAGGATGAGGAACTTAACATCACCTCAGACTATACACACACCCATGTGCACACGCATGTCACACACATGCACGCACACTCCATCACACACCCTCATACACGTGTCTACATCCTCACACACCCATTCTCGCTCTCCCACCAGTGCACACTTGCCCCTGTGCATTCTCTCACACTCGGCTACACTCGAGCTCCTGCTCACACTGGCACATTCATCCGGAACACTCACACTCACTCATTCTCCCACATTCACTCTCACTTGCACGCCCCAGTCTTGCACAGCTACCCATTCTTATGCCACACTCACACACTCACTCTAACACATTCACATCAGAATCACGGACTTCCAAGCCTGTGAACTGGGAATCTGGTGTCTGGCAAGTGGCTCATGTTTAGAAGGGGGAACTCATTTCCACCTAACAAGAACTCCCCTTGGGGACACTGGGCCAAGCATTTCATGCACAGCCTCTCAGGCATTCCTCAGAGCCGACTTGAATGTGGCTCCTGTCATCCCCATGTACAGAGAAGAAAACTGAACCTTGGTGATGCTGAGCAACCTGCCCAAAGTCCAGAATCTAGGCCTAACGGAGACCGGAACCTCTGCTCACTGCTTCCAAACCTCAGGCTTATAATCGCTGTCTCTCTCAGCCCGAGCCTCTCTTCTGGGGCCAGCTAGAGTCAAGTTTACAACTGGAAATAGAAAAGGGCTTTGCCTGCAGACGGCCTCCCTGCCTTTAACCACTGGACACCTTCGGCCTCAGCCTCCTTGTAGCAAATGTGAAGGGACAGAACCAGAGACTCCCTGTGTCCTGTCCACTGTCCACCAGCCATCCTTGCCTCCTCTCTCCAGGTGTGGCCACATACACAGACAAGTTGTTCAAATTCCGAAATAACCGGTGGGAAGACATCCTGAGTGATGACGTCAATGTGGCCCGTGGAGTGGCCAGCCTCTTTGCGGGACGCTCAGTGGCCTGTGTGGACAGGACGGTACGTACAGGGGCCCATGAGGACCTGGGAGGAAGCAGAGAGCCCGAGGCTGTCCCACCTTGAAGCTCCCAGTGTCACACACACACAGTAGAAGCAAAATACTAAGGACCAAGGTTTTTGGGGTGACAATGTATCATTCACCTCGTTCTCTTGTGCAGCCTCCCAGTGTCCATTGTGGAAGCAACGAGGGGTGTCATCCTCATGAATATTGTATTCTTCCGGGGGAAGGGGAGGCCACAGCTCAGCTTAGAGCAGTGGCTTAACTAGGGGAACCAAAATAAGATTAGTGACGTGTCTAAGCCATGAAGCAAAGTGCAGTACTAAACGGGGGTGCTCATTCATTCATTCAATTAAATGCCTGGGTGAGCTAGGCATTGAGTCACGTGACCCTGTACCTATTTTGGTAATATTGAAGGTGAGACAGGGGAGTGCAAAAGCGGTCAAGGCGGGGTTACCTGAATGTTCTAGAACCTTAGTTCATCGATGGTTCCAGCAACACCTTCCTGCTACATCCTACGCAGTGGTGTCCAACCCAAAACACGGGGAAGTGTGGCTGATGGGAAGCAGGGAGAGGAGCTGCCGTCGGTGCCTGGAGCTGGCCCGTAGCAGCCCTACTGTAGACAGAGACTTCTGGGGAAGTTATTTGTCCACCTGTTACCTGCTCCCCTGCCACCCACCTGCTTGGCTCTATAACAATAGTCACAGCAGCGAGGGCACAGCTGCTGCCCTGCTCCACAGTTGTGGGGCTGAAGGGGTGGGTACTCTCTCTGTTACAGAGAGATTGGGGGTTCAGCGTGAATGTTCGCAGCAGGGGCCTCCAGGCCTTAGGAGAAGGCAGGTGCCAGGTATAAATATTTATCTCTTAACAAGCTGGTGCTGGGAAGAGAAGCCAAGCTGGGCTGTGAAACCACATTTAGCCCTGACCTGAATCCATGCCACCTGGACTCCTTCCTGGTGGGAGGGGACAGTGAGGTGGGTCTGAACAGCCCTGGGCTGTGGAGGGCCATAAGTGGCAGGTCTGGTCACAGCTGGGGATCTTGTCCACACTCCTCCTGTTTCCCCACCTCTCTTGTCAGGACTTAACCTCCCATGCTGACCAAAGTAGGAATTCTCCCAGGACTGGAGGGAGGAGCTGGAGGTTAATCACAGAGATACACTCTCTGTCCTCACAAGGTCATCCACACACTGCACAATGGCATTTACCTGGGACAAAAGCATTGTGGGGGAAGGCAAAAGGAGAGGACATGGCCCCTCTGCACAGTGGGCGGTACTTAGAAGCTGTCAGCTCCCAGCCTGGCCTCACTTCATCCTACAGAGGCCTTGGAGAACTGGAAAAAGCCTTTCAGGGGCTCACCACCAGGGGAAGAGGTGCTTTTGGAGTCCAGCTACTACCTTGCCCATTCCTGGGTCCTACGAATTGTATGGAATGATCTGGGAGAGGCCAAGGCCGGTGTGGAAACCAGAAGACAGGAATGCGGTGTGCCAGAGAAAACACATAAAGCAATGGCAAAGGACAAAAGACAAAAGCAGCCCATCCTTGTGCAAACAACCGTGCAGGGAGCCCCACACCACAGGCCTCTTCTCTTTACAATAAGCCCATGGGGTACAAGCTACCATTATCACCTTTTACAGATATGGAAATTAAGGCTTGGTGCAATTAAACAACTTAACCTTGGTCACATGATAAATGGCAAGCGCAGCTGGGAATTGAACTCTGTCTGCTGAAAGCAGAACAGGCCCCTCTTCTTCCCCCTGCTACCCCAGCTCTGGGCACATGATAATAAACAGGCTTTCCTGCACACCCCCATTCAAGCTGTCTTCACTTACCCCCACCTGGGGGTGCTTGGGCTTGCTGGTCAGTGGTTTTTCAGAGTGTGGTCCCCAGACTACTGTTGGCATAAATACTGTTAGGAGTGAAGATTCAGAGGCTGTGGGGATGTCTGCAGGTAAGAGTGCTTGCTGCACAAGCCTGAGGACCTGAGTTCAAATCCCAAGATGCCGTATGAAAAGCCAGGCATGGTTCTGCAAGTGCTTGTAATTCTGATGCTGTGGGGGTTAGAGAAAGGAGGGTCACTGGGCTTGCTGACCACCAGCCAAGTTCTAGGTTCAGTAAGACACCCTGCCTCAGAAGAATACTGTGGTCAGTGTAGAATAAGACACACAACATCTTCCTCTGGACTCTGTGCGTGCACTAACATGAACAGGCCCTGCCTGCTGTATCCCCAAGACCAGCTGAATCAGAAACGCCAGAAATAAGGTTCAGGGATGCAGTTCAACTCATGGGGACCAGCAAGGGTTATGATGTACTGAGGTGAGTCTGTCACTACCCAGCCACAGTCCCTTACTCACGCTCTGCAGAGCACCTCCTACCCTTTATCTCCAGCTGCCCCTCACTCACTTCCTCCCCTTCCTGGATCGAGCTCAAAGCTGATCTCTTACAAGAAGTATTCCCTGGTCAATAACGATGACGCCTCGTGTTTATATAGCATTTGTATCTTCTCAGAGACCTTTCACATACATTGTCTCATCCCAGCTTCTCAGACACCCTGACCCCCATTTAGCACGTGCTAGAGGCAGCCTGCAGACCTTGGTGGATGTGCTCAAGGCTAAAGAGTCATTCAGGGCCTGAGGTTAGACCAGGATTAGGCTAGTAACCTCTCTGACTGTTGCTTTTCAGAGACTAGATTCACTAGTCGGCAGCAGCAGTATGCCCTAGGAATCTGTTTCCCTCTCCCTTTTCCTGGTAGTACTGAGTTTTGAACTGAGAACCTCATTCTTGCTAGGCAGCCACTGTGCCGCTGAGCCACCACCTCAGCAGCACCTGAAGTCTGTTAGACACGCACATGCTACAGGCCCACTTCAGATCTTTTGAGTCGGAAGCTCTAGGAATGAGACCCAGAGTCTGTTTAACAAGTCCTCCAGGTGATTCCGCTGTTAGCTGTAAACTCAGCATCCAGAAACACCTCTGTACCTTCCTCTGTACCCAGAGCTCCAGAAACACCTCCTGTGCTCCAGTGTAGATCCAGAGCTCCAGAAACACTTCCTGGAATCATGTCACCCTCTTAGAACTCCTGTGGTCACGTTCGCATGTGAATTTCCGCAGTCTTCTATAGCTATACTGCATCTGTGTTTATCTGCTTCATCACCCTGATGAATTGAAGTAAGGATCTAGGTAAAACTGAATTATATAAATCTCCTAATTTGTAGCAGAGCGAATTTCAACCCATGTGGACTTAATTGTCCATTTGCTGATGAGCATCCTAAGCAGGTGGTGGAGTCAGGAATGGTTCACTCTCTTCTTTCTTCATCCAGTCACCACACACACACACATACACATACACATTGAGCACCTGGGGTAGATAACAGTAAGAACCTTTTGAAGTTTTCCCCTATTGAGAAGCATCCCAAATTTCAGCTTGCCTAAGTGTCCTGTGGGGTCTTATTAAAATATAGATTCCTGTAAGCAAGTCCGAGAAGGCCCTGGGATTCTTTAGTTCTAGTACTGGTTCCCAGATGGCATCAGGGGTGCCTATCCAGGGACCACTTTGAGCGATGGGACATATAAAGTATTGATTCCCAGATACCAGGGTTGAGATTCAATAACCTAAAGAGAAGAGGCAGTGAGGCCTTCAGGCAACAGCCTCCCAGTCTCGGACTTCAGCTCCTAGTACTTCCTGCCTTGTGCTTTACCTTCTGGTGATACCAAACCATGCCTTCTGCGCACCCACCATTCCCTGTCTCTGCCTGAACTCTGCCTGAACTCTGCAGGTTCTTCCCCTCCACTTCACTGGCTCGGACCCCTCTTAGAAAACCTTTCCTAAAGTTGGCATAGCGAGGTGCCCGCCTCCAGGCTGCCAACCAGGAAACCCTGTACCTTGCATCTGCCATGCACTTGGGTGGTTGTGATACCTCTGTGTCCCCTGGAAACTCTAAGCGTCTTTCCCTGTCCACAGCAACCAAGTCACCCACACTTGAGAATCTCTGGATTGGCTCCCCCAGCCCTAGAGAAAATGGTCCTAAGAAGGTGTAGAGTGAGGACCCTGACCATCCTGATCGAGATGCCGCAGAACAAGAGAATGAAGCAGAGGTCAGTGAGGATGACAGCATCACCTTGTCACCTCAGCTCATTCTCTTTCCTCTCTGGCTGTCCTTCCACACTAGACTCTAAGCCACCCAAGGACAGACGAGTCTGTGGGCTCAGAATTTATCGAAAACACCCTGTAGATCGTGAGAGCTGGAGAAATACCTTCTGGATAGAAGAGATGAGAAGATAATGGAGAAGCTGGAAGCAGATTTAGAAACTGTGTGTATCTCTTGGGAAGAAGGAAGCATCCACTGGAGAAATAACACCATTATAATAACAGGCATAAAGGCATCTTATCTGTGGGGTTTGGGCTTCCGAGAATGGCTACTGAAGGAAAAGCCAATGCCCAGGGCTTCTCTGAGATTCGAAGAAAAAAAAAAAAACGGAGACAGTATTATAAAGGCCAAAACAGTGAAATATCTCCTCTTGATAATATGGGGAGATGGGAGTGGAAGGCGAATGGGAGACCCCGCGAATCCGTGCCTTTCCCGAGAGGAGGAGAGGGAGCAGACTCAGGAATTTGCTTGTCATCTTGGCTGGAGTGGGCTTGAATGGGAGCGAGAGAGACGGAGAATAATGGGAACTGGTAGATCAATCAATCAGCAAATATTTATTGAGCAGCTACCCTGGCTGGCAGCTGGAGCGAGCTCAGCTGGAGGGAGGCACATTAGAAAATTGTCTATAAAAAGGTGGTTGTGGGGGAGAGGGAGAGATGTGTTCTTCTGGAACCGGATAGAACAAGAGAGGCTGCTTTGTTGTCTGGCTCGGGAGGGGGGCGTCATTCACATGCAGCCTTTGTGATGAACACCTCTCAGGGTTGTAGCCGCACAGGCTTCAACCCACTGATAAAGCTATGATCCCTGGGGTGGGGACAACTTCTGGGGAAGCCAGGACTAACATGAGGCTCCTTACCCTCCTCCTCCTCTTCCTCCTCAGGGCTCTGGACTATACTCTATCTACATAGCGAACTATGCCTACGGTGATGTGGGGCCTGATGCCCTCATCGAAATGGACCCTGAGGCCAGTGACCTGTCCAGAGGGATCCTGGCACTCAGGGACGTGGCTGCTGAGGCTGGGGTCAGCAAGTACACAGGTATGCAGAGTTTATGGAGACTGTTGGTAGGTGGGCTGGAGCTGGGGTTTGGAGCCCTGAAATGCTGTGTCTAATTGATCAGCAACCAGGAGGACAGAGACGGTTTATAATCCCTGAGCAGGCAGGAAGGCATCTCCCCTTCCCACATGTATGCTTCCCCTCCAAGGGGAGGTGAGATCCCTGGCAAGTGTGAGCTTGGTGGGGTGGGGACACCATACAACAGGCATAAACTGAAAGGAAAAGAACACCATGTCATCCTGTCCCAGGAACCTCTTGCCCCCCTCCCCTGCTGTAACCCCAGTGATGAGTGAGCAGATTGCGTTGGAGAAATCTGACAGATCACAGGAGCTGAGATTTAAAGCTTTCTTTATTGCCCAACAGCAGATGAAATTATTTACTTACACATAAGCGGCCAGGAATTGAGCGCTAAGTCCCTAAGCTCCGGCTGGGTCCCGTCTCGGATAACTGAGCTCAAAGAATTGTGTTCTCATTCCAAACCCTCTCCAGCACTTTTTATGGAAGGTGTGCTCCCCCCTCAACTTTCTGGATGGGGGACCTATTGTCAGAGAGAGCCTCTGACAGGAGCTCTTTCTAGGGAAGGCTGTTTTTCTAATTCCAGCAGGGCTGCTGACTAAACTCTGATAATCTGCCAATAGGCTGTTGATGGCAGAGCCATCCAGTTCCTGTTATAAGTGCCAAAAATCAGGAAGCCAGGCCTGTGCATAACAACTTGGTCTTGTTCACACCCGCCTTGCAGTTGGGGTGTAGAAATTCTCCCGTTAGCTAGCCTTCTCCATACATCTGCTCCAAGTTATACCACGGACACCACTGAAGCGTCAGCCAGCCTGCACTCAAGCCTTGGAGCTGGAAAGTGGCAGAGGGGACCAAGTAGATGTCTCCCTTCCTGCAGACACTTGGCTGGTAGCAAATCTCCAAGTCCCATGCTGGAAAGGTTGTCCCAGCCTGCTAGGAGTTAACGGTGACCTTACCTAGCCGACTGGCCACCTCCATGAAAGACAGAGATTGATGCTGGCCTGTCTGACAAAGTTTGTGGGGACAAATGACTAGATAATAAAATAGTTTGCATGGCTCAAGCCCCATCAACGTGCCTGAGAGCCCTGGGCATAAACGTGCTTCAGAGAGGCTGAGTGTCAGTAATAAACCATGTTTCCCTGGGAAGAAGAATAAACATGAGGTGCTTCAGCCCAGATTGGTACAGTCAATTTTTCTGAGTAAGCTCCCAGTTCTGTGTACTGGGCTGGCTTGGCAATTAAGTGCCTTGATCTTGCAGGAGAGGGAGGGGTGTGGGCTGGGGGATGAAACACTTGAAAATGATGAGATGGAAGGGAGGCAAGGACGGAGAGAGTGCATTACACACAGAATGGAAGAATTCAGAAGGCTGGAGCATGAAGGGGGCATTGTTCACGCTGGCTGGGCTGGCACAGAACCCAGGAGGGAGGGGGGCGCAAGCAAAGACAGCTGAGGAGCAGAGATGCGATGGAGCCCCAGCCAACTGTGCAGGCCGTGCTGGAAGGATAGGGCAACCCAAGGCGGGGGCAGCAGCTTCTGTGAAGGGATGGAGGAGGCCGGGGCAGCTGGCATGCCCAGAGGACACATAAGAGCAGTTCTGCAGACTTCCAGAAGCTATTTGGCTGGCAAGAACCAATTTGGCCCACCAAGTTACTGTTCTGTCTGCCTGCCTTCCCCAGCCCCCCAACATTATCCTGCAACCCCCACTTGTCACTCGGTTAATGACACATGGACATCTGGCTAGAAAATGGCCCCTGAGTGCTCCCTTGGGCCCTAGGAATAAACCCCAAATGTAAGGGCCACTATGCTGAGCCCAGCCCAATGGCTGAGACTCTGGGCAGGTGGCCAGCGCTTGTCTCCAGAACAGTACAAGGGGTCTGGGAAGCCAGGAGGGATGAGCAAGGCCTAAGCAGGCTGGAGAGAAGCGAGCAGTGGCCAGATGTGCTTCGGGGGAACTGAGGCTTCTGAAGCCAAGCCACACCGCTCCCGTTTTTCCAGGGCAGCCATGAGGACTGGGTGGGAGGACCTGTCACTTGCCAAAGGATCAAACTAGGTCCAAAGAGCAGAAAGGACTCGAACAAGGTCACTAAGGAGACTTGTAGAAAGCCAGCACTTGGGGCCTTATCACCTGATGCTTAAACCAGCCATAACTAGCTGACCTTTCTGATGACCTCCAACTGGAGCAAGCTGCTCCCAGCTAGTAAAGGGAAGGCCCTTCACTCTCTGGATATGCCTTGGCAGACAGGCCCTGAACTGTGTACCCAGGTTGTCAGGCCAAAGCAGCTGTCTGGCCTGGGGTGCTCAGGACAGCAGGCTGCAGTGGCGGGGGCTGGGGGGCAATGGCACGCAAACCACGCACAAGTTGTTAGTTGTGCAGAAGGGGGGAAGGGAGATCTCTCCAGACACTATTGATTCTGCCATCCACTTGTCACTCTGCTGGGTCACAGTGCCATCTAGTGGCTGAAATGCCTGCTCTCAGGGGACTGAGCCCCTAGAGGGCATCTGAACCTGAGCTGCTAGTACCCACAGTGGCAGTAGAGGAGCCTGCTGTCCCTTGCTGTGGCTCCCTGAACACTCCAAGGCCTCTTCAACTATCAGAGAACTCTTGGAGCCAGCAAATTCTGGAAGCTGAGATGTGTGGGAACCTTGAGAGTGGGGTCCATCCTGCGGAGGGCTTGACATAGGAGAGAGAGCAGTAGTCCTGTGGTATCTCTCGCCAGGCACCCTGACCCAGCCAACTGGCAGAGTGGCTAATGGGAACAGGCTTCCATTTTCAGATTCTGCCTGTACCGTGCCAGCTTGTCTGGACAGCCATAGAAGACAATGACCTCTCTCAACACTAATTCTACCTTCCCAGTGTTTTAGAGAATGAAATAACGTGAGGGATACCTAGTCTGTGGCCTGGCCCTGTGGCTCTGACAGAGTGGCACCAGGGTTCTCCGCTGGGCATCTCCTGGGGCATTGAGGATGGAGCTGAGAGAGCCAGCCCACCTGTCATGGAGGCACGAAGTCTATGTCTTCCTGCCTGGACACCATGTAGCCATCTTTATCCCTTCCCCAAATGGAGTCCAGCCTTCTGTCACCCTTCCCTCTGCGCGTGGCCTCCCCCAGGCTCTACCCTTGCCCCAGGACCTCTACCTTCAGGCCTCACCCTTTGAGGGAGCATCTGCCCAGGCAGCAAGGTGGTGATTAAAGAAGCCTTTAAGGAAATTTGGAAAGAAAATGGAGGTGGATTTATGACGTTGTGTGGAGAGTTCTGCCGTTGGCTGGGAGCAGTGTGGAACAAAGCGGAGGGCAGATCTGATTTATAGGAAGTCATTATTGGAGGAGACGGAGAGGCCCAAAGCCCAGCTGAGCCCTTCTGGCAGATTCCCATCAGCAGTGATGACTGGTGTCTGCCGGGTGGGGGCTGAGGAGCCTCTCAGGTTCCCAGGTGGGTGAGCTATCCAGCCAGCACTAGCAGCTAGAACCGGGTGAGGCTAGAGAGACAGGTACCTCAGCCAGGTCCAGAAACCCCAGGAAGGTCCCCAGAGGGGTTCCTAAAGTTCAAGATACACAAGAACCATTTCCTGGAGGTGTCAGGTGCATTGGATGATTGTCACAGGGGTCTGTTCTGGTTCTGAAGTGAAGAGGTGTTTGGTAGACTAACACTTCACTTTTTACAAGCATTTCCCCCAGCGTTCTCAAGAGACTAAAGAAATGACACTAGTGACTATACCCCAAGGTGACAGTTCGGTCTCCTCCATGTTGAGAGGGGACCTAAGCCAAAGTGTTAAGAGAAGTAAGCTGAGGGGACAGCATGCAGATTTGAGCTGAGACCCTAACACCAACCAACTGTGACTGCTCCAGTGTAAGCCTCGGTTTCCCCAACTGGAAAACAGGGAACCGAAGAGCATTGAAGATGTATTTGCTGAAGCAAACAACACTTTCCTTGCACTGGACAAGTGCATTCAGGAGTTCCACTGTACACTACAGTGACCACCGTTAATAACAATCTATTGCATTCTTGCACCATGCCAAGAAGATAGATTCCAAGTGTTTGCGAAATTTAAATAATAAATATGTGAGATCGTGTATATGTTAAGTAGCTTGTTTCAGCCATTTCATAGCATATGCATTCTCCATGTGCATGGTGCATGTGATAAACATATGCAATTTGTTATTTCTTGGCTAAGAAGACAGTGGTGATGAGACACACCTCGTGGTGTCAGGACACTTAGTGTGAGATGTCTGCGCCCAGGACCAGCACACAGAGCAGAGCCACCGGACTCTTTCTTCCAGTCGTTTGCCCGCTCTGCCCTCACACAGCTTCTGCTTAACTCTTTGATTCAGGGTGGGCACAGCAGGAAGGACCCTTCTTCCTACAGCCTCTGGTGGCAGACTGGAAACCGTCTAGGAGAAGGGGCTGCAGAGGCCTGCTGAGTGGGAGTGTGCTTGTCTCACAGTCCAGCCTTGCCCGGCACCAGCAGGCTCACCCAGCACCACCTCAATTTGGAATTCTGCAGGAAACAAATTTAGAGAGGGAGGCCCCATTACCGCCCTACCCGTTGCCCCTTCTCCAACTCACATCCTCCCACCTCATGCATTTTTTAGCATCTTAGACCAACTCCTTTATAACACCTTGGATGCTCTTGGCAGCCAGTGGACCTTGGTGGCCACAAGAACCCTGTTTTCTACAAGATTCCCACGAGACACTGTCACGGGTCCATACCCCTTTGATCAGGACCAGCAGGATATGGGGCAGGAAACTGCCTTCAACATGTTCCAACTGTTCAACAGGTTGAAAAGTAAAATCTTAGGGGCCTTCTTGCCAACCTAGACCCCGCATTTTGCAGTGCAGAGGACTGATACCTGGAGGACACCTTCCCAAGCTCCAGAAGCCAGAGAGAGGCAATGGCCCTGCCAAAACCCAGAGCCCTTTCCTAGGAACCTGGATCTCAGTCTCCTGGGTCATTCCTGGGTCAGCAACCCATAGTTGGAGCAGTTGAGAGTGTGTGCTCCACCCATAACCTCTCGTTCCCTCCCCACCCAATCCCTGAAAGCTGGGAGATGGACCCCTTCCACCAGAACCACACTTGAGAGCACTGTCAAAGCATCAGGGTTCAGAGGTCTAGAGATGCAGGTACTGAGAGTAGCCAAGGCATCCCCATAGGAACTGGGTCCAACGAACAAACAAGGAAGGCTGACAGGTGGCCAGAGGAAGTGGGGACCAAAGAGGGTCATTCTCCCCTGGAACCTCCAACCTCTCAGACAGACTTGTTGGAGTGGGCATATGTCCTTGGGAAGGATGGGGAGAGAGATAAACATTCAAAGCCCAACAGCATAACAAAGGGGCCTTTGAAGCTTGAAGAGCTGGGCAAAAATAAAGTGATATTATTCACTCAGCAGGTGGTAAATAGTCCCAGCTAATGACTGTGTGGCACCTGACATTTTCCAAGGTACTTTCCAAAATTCATCCCACTTAATATTTATGACACCCCTGGGAAGGAGCTATTATTATTACCAGTTTACTTCATAGATGAGAAAACAGAAGACTAGAAAGGTTAAGTGATATGCCCAAGGTCACACAGCTCAAACTCGGTCATGCCGATCGCCAGTCCTGAGGTCTGGCCTTCCACCAGTACAGCCCTGCAGGCTCAGCTGGGGAGCCTCGTGTCTGAGAGAAGGGGCTGGCTCCAGACAGTAAGGAATTCATTGAAAAAGGTGGCGTCAACTTCCTTAGGATGTCGTTCTCCAAGACTAAACAAAGATGTCCCTAACAGCCACCTTCTGGATAGCCCTGAGCCTAGGGAGAGGAGGGGAGCGTGGATGTCACAAGGCAGGGAGAAAAGCAGAGGTGGGTCCTGGAGAAGAGATGCTGCTACTTCCATCTGACTGGCAAAGAGGAGGAGGGAAAGGATACAGTTTTGATGGGATGTTGCTGTTGGTTTCGAGAGTTAACCTTGTGGCATCAGCAAGGGGCACAGCACCTGGCCGCCTTGCCTTAGACCCCAGTTTGGACCATATCCTAAGGCTTCTGGAAATGAGCCCCAAAAGGCTGGCTCCCTGACTGTGGACTCACCTGCTCCCCAACTGCATGGCCAACTTGCCAAGAAGGAGTTGTGGGTAACATCTCTGTTATGGTCCAGTTGCTATGGCAATAAATTGCTGCTAATTAGTAGTGTGGTTACCATGGCAATTTTCTAGTAATTACAGGTTACAAATGGTGCAAGGCTTCAACCCAACCCAATTAGTTAATTAGAAAGATTTAGAAATTTGTCCAAAAGGGAAATAACCTGCTTTGTAGAAAATGAAGGGAAGGTGTCACAGCTTGGGCGCCAGAGGCAGAGGAAACTGGAGGATGCCACAGAGAGGGGAGGACTGAGTTGCATGGTAGCTGGTCCCGAGTCCCACCTAGAATCTCCTGGAAGCCTTCCCCTGGACTGGAGTCTGGCAGTGAGCAGGGCAGGGACAGCTGCCACTAGCTCCTCCTTTTAACAGGCAGGGACGATGCCCAGGTCATGTGTCAGCATCCTTCCCACTGGCCATCACCCTACTCCCTGGCCTTCATGTCATATGATTTCTCCTGGAAGGAAGATCCTCAGAAGTAATGGGGAGTTTGCTGCTCATTCTCATGAGACTGGATTCTCCTCTAAGATAAACTGAGTACCTGAGAAGAAAGAATCCATGAGAGAAAATGCCTAGAAGGCATTGGCAAGAAGTCCAGCAAGAGTACTGAAAGTGGAGAGGTGGTTCGGGGCCCTGCCCCAGCTCCCTCACATCGTGAACAAAGCCCCATACCTCGTCATGGAGCATCTCTCAGGGTGAAGGACCATGGACACCCAAGAACCCTTTTCTCAGATGAGCTCAGTCACTTCACTTGATCCAGAGATGGGTGGTCATGGGTCTAGCCATTACCACGTGACTCTGCTGGAGTTCTCACTTACTTAAAAACCCAGCCCCCAGTTTTCCTCTTGTCACAGTAGTTAGTTCTTAGAGCAATGTGCCTCATCCATTGGGGGCATACAAAACACACAGTGGTCTTATCAGGATGCAGGACTCAGCAGGGCCTGAGTCTTTGAGTTTCTGAGAAGCCCCAGCAGCAGGTCCACAGGCCAGGCTGTACAGCAAGGCTGTGGGCTTCACAGAATCTCCATCTCTCTCACCTTGCTTTTTAAAAATTGACTTCCGAAAACTCCATATTTATCATACACAAGATGATGTTCTGAAATTATGTGCCTTGTGGAGTAGCTGTCTTGAACGAATATGCATCATTCTCCATTTGCGGGGAGGTCACTCACGACCCACCATCATAAGCAGCAAGAACAGCAAGTGTTTATTAGCTGTTGTCACCATACTGTATAAGAGTCTCTCTGACTTAGCCCTCCTGTTTAACTGTTCCCTTCCCATTCCCCCCCCTCACCAGACCCTGGTAACTCCACTCTCTGCCCTGCTTCTGTAGCTTGGACTCTGCACCTTAGGGATTCCTGTATATCTGTCTCATCTCTGCTTGGCATGTTGTCCTCCAGGCTGGATAACATGTCATTTCGGAAAAGTACCACATTTCCTTTATTCGGTCTTCTGATGAACGTGGAGTGTGGTTTCATCATATTAGCACTCACGAATTTTGCTATAGTGGACACAGGAGTGCAGAACTCTCGAACCTACTGCCTTCATTTCCTTTGGAGCATGTATGCCCAGCAGCAAAATTGCTATGTTATGTGGTGGTTCTATTTTTATTTTTCTGAGGGTACACCACACTGCTTGGTGGTTGTACTAATTTATATTCCCGCCAACTGTGATTAGGGATTCGTTTTCCACTTCCTCTTGTTGGATGCTTGTAAGCCATCATCGTTTCTCATTTGATTTTTATAAGGACTAGAAGAGAAAGGGCGAGTCAGAAAAGCCCCCATTTAACAGAAGAAACTGACGCTCAACAGGGAACAAATTGTCTATGTTCCAGCAGCCTGGGAGAATCTGCATCAGCTGCTGGTGGGCTATTTTAACAGTTACCCGGCATCCAGGGGCCATGGCTACTGAGGCTTCAGATGTGGATGGTTTTTCCAGGAAGCGGATGAGTCTGGGAAGCGGATGCTGCGTTTGAAGCCCAGTACTTTCGGAGGCTTTGTTCGGGGTGCACTAAGGTTGGACCTCTGCATATCAGGAGCTCAAAGTTGATGTTAGTCCTCAAAGCCTAACGTAGTGCTGGCTTGATTTGTGGTGGTGGTGTTTTTTTAATGTAAATACTCTATTGGATTTTCCCTTCTTAAACTACAAAAGCAAAACTTGTTGCTACAAGCCAAACAACAGGAAACATTCAAGAAAAGGCCAATTACCATCTCTTTCCTTTTCCCTAGTCCTTCCTGGTCCAGCGAGTCAGTGTAAGCTTCTTTACTTTTTTCCAAATTCAAACTAGCTTATACACACATGTATATTCTTGAATACTAAGAGTTTTCCCACTGTTTTTTTTAATACATGTAAGATCACATAGAATTGTTATTTGCCTTTCTTTCCTTTCCTTTTTTTTTTTTAAACATCATGGGCTTTCCTCCAAATCAATACATATGGATCTACATAGTCCTTTTAGTAGCTTCAGAATCATCCTCCATATGGAGACACCATAATCCGTTCAGCCAGTTCACTGTCAATGGACAAAACTGCTTAGTCCCTCAGCCAAAGCTAAATAATCATTGGGCCTACAGCTGGAACCCACAGCCTGTCAGATCCTGCAGGTAATGCTGACTTCCTCAAGTTCTTAACCAAAAACACATGCGTAGGTTCTGAGGGGTATGTTTGGGACTTGGCGGGGAAGCGAGGCACTGTTGAACTGCCTGTGCCTCCAGGGATAGAGCTGGTTTTAGGGATGTCGGGATTCATCTAGCCGGCATTGATGACCACACCCTGTGTTCCTGGGGCATGGAATGAAGCCTTTGGCGCAAAGTGGTCCCCTCCGGCTCCTGTCGGGCCTCAATGGGTTCAGAGTTATGGAGACTGGGAGCTGAGGTCTAGCTCTGTTTTTAATTTATCCGGTGCCTGTGAAGCCAGTCCTCCAGGTGGGGCTGGCCTGGGCACCAGGCACTCACTGTGGATGCACCTCTTCTCCTAGCGGGCCGGGGTGTCAGCGTGGGCCCCATTCTCAGCAACAGTGCCTCAGATATCTTCTGTGACAATGAGAATGGACCCAACTTCCTCTTCCACAACCAAGGCAATGGCACCTTTGTGGATGCTGCAGCTAGTGCCGGTGAGTAGATATGACCCTTCCCTGTGCCCTTGAGGACCCTGGGCCCAGGAGACTGGATTTCTCTGCTATCCTCAAGCCACAGGGGTGTTTGCTGATGGGGCAGGGAGGCTCCTGTCCCAGGCATGCCCGGTGCCCACAGCTGGCATTGGCCTATGAACCTCTGGATCTGCTTTTGTTTGCTAGCACAAATTCTCCTTTGACGCTCTCCCTCCTCAGCTTGGCCTCTCCCCACTTATCTTCCCCTCTGTTATTTCACTGAACTTACTGTGTGTGCGTGGGGATGTGTGCATGCTACGGCACTCAAGTGGAGGTCTGAGGACAACTTGCAAACTCTAGTTCTTCCCCTCTACCATGTGGTTCTTGGGGCTGGAACTCATATCAACAGTCAGCAGGCACCTTTACCCTCTGATACATTTCCCCCAATTATCATAAACAACCAATTTATTCCAATAATTGTTTTTTTTTATTTTTTTCTCTCATACAATACATCCCACCTGCAGTTCCCCTCCCTCCACTCTTCCTGGGTCCTACCACCACCTCTCTTCTCCCCCAGATCCATTCCTTCTCAGTTCCCCTTCAGAAAAGAGTGGGCTTCCCAGGGAAATCAACCTAACACACATGGCATAACAAGTTACAATAAGACTAAGCACAAGCACTGGTTATCAAGGCTGAGAGAAGCAGCCCGGTCAGAGGAAAAGGGTCCCAAAGGCAGGCAAAAGAGTCAGAGACACCCCAACTCCCGTTGTTAGGAATCTCACAAACCCACAGCTAATAACTATAAGGTATTTGCCGAGGACCTAGAGCAGCCCATGCAGACTCTGTGAGCCCCTGTGAGCCCTGCTTAGTTGATTCTGTGGGCCGTGTTCTCCTGGTGTCCATGACCCTTCTGGTTCCTACAGTCCTTCCTCCCCCTCTTCCAGGGGTTCCCTGAGCACCTAGAGAAGAGATCTGATGAAGCTCTCCAATTCTGGTTCCCTCCCTCCCTCACCCACCTCCTTCCCTCCCTCCCTCTCCCACCCCCACCCCCACCCCCTCTCTCTGCCTAGTGTTTGGCTCTCTGCGTCTGTTTCTGCATCTGCTCCCGTCAGCTACTGGAATAAGACTCCCTGATGATGACTGGACTAGGCACCAATCTATGAGTATAGTAGAATATCACTAGGAATCATCATTATTGATTATTTTCCTATCCTAGGTATCTGGGCTGTCCAGCCTCTGATTTCTAGTCATATGGACAGTGTCTGGCATGTGTTCCTTTTCATAGTGTGGACCTCAAAGTAAACCAGTCATTGTTAAATTAGTTTGGTTCTTGGTTGGTTGGTTGGTTGGTTGGTTGATTTGGTTTGGTTTTGGGTTTTTTTTTTTTTTTGATACAAGCTTTCTCTGTGAAGCCCTTACTGTCCTGAAACTTGCTCTGTAGACTAGGCTGGCCTGGAACTTACAGAGACCTGCTTGCCTCTGCCTTCCGAGTGCTTGGATTGAAGGCATGCACCATAATGCCCAGCTAATTCAACAATCATGTCATGAAGCTTTGCTAAGTGTCTGGCTAGTGTTAGGAGCTGGGAATACCGACCTGAGGAAGACTGAGACTTCCCCTCATTCTAGAAACAAATGTCTACATGACCAGCCATACTGAACCAGGATAAAATCCAACCCAAACCTTCATCATGGCTTCCACCTCTGCTCCCATCCCTGCCGTGGTGATTATTTCCCATCAGCCTCAGGACCTTTGCGTGTACCATTCCCTTCTGAGGACTGCCCTCCCTCTTCTCTGTAGAACTTCCATGTGCCAGTCAACATTGTGCTCAGTGTCACCTCTGAGAAGCATTTTCTGACCTCCTCAGTGGCATCTGGCAGACATTCCTTCTGTCTCCTCTGTGTCCCTCTGTCCCAGCATGCTCCTCTCATTCAGGTTTCTACATTGCCCACATGACCAGCATGTGTGCTCTACAAGGACTGGGATCTTATACTGTCTGCTCTTGGTACCCAGGTGATGGCAAAATGAATACTTTATCAAAGGTTGTGGACTCGGTGTGTGCTCTTCAGCCCCTTCCTCATCCCCCATTTCCTCCCAGACCGAGAATGAATGAAGGCTTCAGTGCACCTCCTCCTTGGAGCCCGAGCAAGAGCTAACTGAGGATATGAACCCACCAGCTCTTCAGACAGCAGCATCTAAGCCCCAAGTGTGAGCCTATCCCTTCTCTCAGAAATAAGAGTATCTCTCCTTCAGCTTCCTGCTCGGGGAGTCTCCACATGTGGCACTCCCAACCTCCCACCCTAGCTGAAGCACTGCCTACCCCAGCTGGTTGCCTGTCACCCTTAGCCCAGTGTCTCTCCTCCCTTGGCAGAGTAGGGGTGTGGTCGTCTGGCCTGCTCTCTGTGCCCATCCCCCACCCAGGCTATGCTCCAGCCGTATACTGTCTTGCTGCTGAGAAAATCGCAGGCTGAAGAGGAGGAGGTAGCACAGAGAACCGGGAGGATTTGATAAGGTGTTAAGGAGATGGAAGCAGAGGTGAGCGAACACGTTGGAGTGGGAAAAGGTATCAGGCAGGAGGAGATGCAAGGTGCGAGGCCCGTAATTGAAAGTCGGAGTGATTGCAGGGGTTTAACAAGACATGTCAAGGGGGCATTCATCACCCAAACAGATGCCGCTGGGAAATGCAGCCTGGCACTGCTTAGTCCCGCGAAAAGGAACCAGCTCCTTGTCAAGGTGCCTCACAGATAGGAGAGAGATGGGCCAGCTCAGAAGGCCACCGACCCGACGCTTAGGCAAGAGAGCTTGCAGAGAATTAATGGAATGCCAGCCCCAGGAATCTGAGGCTGCTCCCAGCCCCTGCAGTGCCATCCTCCTGACTGAGTCTCTGCCTTGTCCCCCATCAGTGCTCAACCCCAGGCCTCTCTTCTTCATGAGAACACCTCCAAGGTTCTCAGAGCCCCCATGCCTGCCTTCCTCAGGCTTCGTCCTGTTTCATCTCACCTCTATTCTGTTGGTCTACTACCCTGTATCCAAGGGCAACCTGTAGCTGTTCGTCCTCCAGAAATGTCATCTTTGTTTAGCCCTGAGCCTAGGCCAGGAGCACAGAGGTCTGCCTCTACACCCAGGAAGAGAGAATCCTAGCCAGAGGAGATCTCAGGGCTGTGCCCACTGCATTCTTCCCCAGGATGGGCTCCTCAGTGGATGGTGAACAACGTGGGGGGCAGGCCACTTCCTGTTCTCACAGGCCCACTGTGGGTTCTCTGTCATGGTTGCTGTATTTCCTCAGCTGTCACCAGCATCCCCAGTTTGCCTGCTGTCAAGTTATTTATGTCTTTTCATTCATTCAGCACTTACTGAACGCTGCCGTGCAGCCACAGGCACAGAGGTAGACCTGCGGCACATGGGAACCACAGGGACGTGGCTGACCTCAAGACAGTGGGGCAGATAGAGAGACAGGACCCCAAGCAAAGAGAAGCCCCCCCCAAAGAGCACAGTCTGTGACCAGCACCAGGAAGGGAAAGATTAGAACAATGAGGGGGGCAGGTGGGGAAGGGCTGCTTTGGGGGGGGGGGCTGGGCTTCATTTTTTCTTTTTATTAATGCATTTAGGTATCATAGAAAATAATGAGCTTTATTGTGACATCTTCATACATGTATCATACTTTAGTCTTAGTCATCTCCTCTCTGCCTCCTGTCACCTTTCCTGCTGTTCCCTCACTTCCCTTTTCAAATAGTTCCTTTCTCTCTGCTTTTATGTCACTGATATCCGATTGCCTTTTCTTGGTCTCTTCTCCCCACACCTTTAGGCCTCTTCCTTCATAGCCAGCCCTCTTTCAACTTCCATGTCAAGTTTTGTGTCTGTGTATACATGTCTTTATGCGTGTGCGAGCATGTGTGTGTGTGTGTGTGTATGTGTGTGTGTATGTGTGTGTGTATGTGTGTGTGTATGTGCGGACATGCATGCATGCGTGCACGCGTGAATTTAAACCTGGAGTCCACGTATGCAAGAAAACATGTTGCCAGGCAGTGGAGGCACATGTCTTTAATCCCAGCATTTAAGAGGCAGAGGCAAAAGCAGGTGAATCTCTGAGAGTTCAGGGCCAGCCTGGTCTACAGAATGAGTTCCAGGACAGCCAGGGCTACACAGAGAAACCCTTCACAAAAAGAAAGAAAGAAAGAAAGAAAGAAAGAAAGAAAGAAAGAAAGAAAGAAAGAAAGAAAGAAAGAAAGAAGGAAAGAAAGTCCCATTTGTTCTCTTGAACCTAGATTGTTTTAAGGGGTGCGTTGCATGCATAAGTCATGAAAGGATTCTTTAAGGGGTTCAGTTTCCAGAGGCCATGAAAGCATCCTGAGAGGAGACACCAGCTAGAACAAAGGTCCAGAATGTAGGAAGAACTGCGTTCACTTAAAAGATGGAAAGACTCTGATAACCAGAGCCCAGTAAGTAAGGGGCACAGTAAACCAGGCACAGATCCCCAGACACAAATCTGAACTTAACCCAAGGTACTGGTGAACCCTTGAGAAAGTTAACCGAAGAGGGATGTGATCAACATGATGTCTCTCTGTGACCTTGTGACAATGCTAGGAAAGGTTCTGGTCCCCAAGAATGTCCACACTCTTCTTCTCCTGGACCATACTGCTCTGAGCTGAGTCCAGGTAGCATGTGAGTAGATGATGGTGCTACTTCCTGCCCCCATGAGAACATCTAAGATTTAGCTGTGCCCCCTCCCCATGTTCCTGGGAAAACAGGAACTGAATGAAGGTCACCTTCTCTTGTTGCTAAAGGCAAATGTTTATGGAACATGCAAGGGACACCCCTTAAAGAAGCCTTTCATGACTTATGCATGCAAAGCACCCCTTAAAACAAACTAGGTTCAAGAACACAAACGTGACTTGCATGAACCCTGAAGCTCCTTCCTCTCCTCCCCAGGTGTAGACGACCCTCATCAGCATGGCCGAGGTGTGGCCCTGGCAGATTTCAACCGTGACGGGAAAGTAGATATCGTCTATGGCAACTGGAATGGCCCACACCGCCTCTATCTGCAGATGAGTGCTCACGGGAAGGTCCGATTTAGGGTAAGAACAGCCAGGCCCTGCACGGTGTTTGGGCAGACCATGAGAGATGGAGCCTGCCTTGTACACTCTGATAAGCCCAGGAGGCCTTGGGGCTCTTGAGAGCTGGAAGTGGGCTCTCAAGGAAGGCAACATGCAGGAGTCTAGGTCACCAGCTCTGGCAGAGTCTTAGACCTGAGCTCTGGGCTGAAAACAAGTGGCCAGAGAGAAAGAGAATCCTCCAAGCCCGCAGGAATCCTGTCAGGAAAAGTCATTCTTTGGTAACCACTGTTCCTCGGGGCTCCCAGGACACCCCACCTGCAGCGTCTAACTGGACCTTCCAACTGAGCTTCAGACCCGGGATCAAAAAACAGAAGATAAGTTGAGGCCAGTGAGCTCCCAGGCTGTCTCCAAGGTCAAATAAAGGATAGGCTAAGCACAAACAGCCTCGTCCACCTCAGGAGCTGTCGGCAGAATGTAATGACAGGTATTCTCCTCCAGGGCTGCTGGGTGGCAGTGCCAAGCTTGAGTCTGGGACTTTCTCAGCAGATGGCAGAGTATGGATTTGATGAGGCTGATATCAAGAGGCCAGGCTACTCTTGAAATACTTAGGACTTGGTAAATAATAGTAATAAACAGGAAATGAGAAGTTATGGTATTCCAAGCTTTGTGAATGCAGAGAATTGCCCAGGATTCCCAAAGTCTGAGACACTGAAGAGGTCCCACATCTGTCTTGGTGCTCCCTTCCCTGCCTAATCTAGGCCTTCTGGACAGGAAGGTGCTTGCCTTGCACTCGGGGCATTGATCCTAGGGTTCTGGGTGAGTCGCTTCTTTATCTGGCATTCTGGCCCAGAAATGATTCTGCCCTCCCTGCCCCCAGGATATCTGACAAAGTCTAGGAGCATTTTAGATTGTCCTGACTGGGAAAGGACAAAAGCCAGAGGCTGCTGGTGACACCTCACAGTGCCCAGGACAACAGTGCCCAGGACAACAGTGCCCAGGACAGCAGTGCCCAAGACAGCAGTGCCCAGGACAACAGTGCCCAGGACAGCAGTACCCAGGACAACATTGTACAGGACAACAGTGCACAAGACAGCAGTGCACAGGACAGCAGTGCCCAGGACAGCAGTACACAGGACAGCAGTGCCCAGGACAGCAGTGCCCAGGACAACATTGTACAGGACAACAGTGCACAAGACAGCAGTGCACAGGACAGCAGTGCCCAGGACAGCAGTGCACAGGACAGCAGTGCACAGGACAGCAGTGCCCAGGACAACATTGTACAGGACAACAGTGCACAGGACAGCAGTGCACAGGACAGCCCCCCACTCTAAAGAGTCACCTGGCTCCAGATGTCCTGTGCTGAGTTTGGAGAACATGCTAGCCTTCTGAGGCCCCTCCATAGAGCTCACAGCACAATAACAATAATAACAAATGTCCCGTTTATCACACGCCACCCACGTGCCAGGATCCCTGATAAAAGCTTTACATAGATTATCTCAAAGCCCAGGCATGCAGAGGGGCAACCCCATGGGGACTGTGTAAGTTTCCATTTTTACAGGATCGATGGAGCAGTAATGAGTTAGAGATCCTCAGGTCTCCTTGTTCCTCGGCTCTGAAGACCCTGCTCAGCCCACCCTGACCAGCCAGCCAGGCTCTTAATCAACCTCATTACAGTGCTGATGAGGACTGTCACCCTCCCCTGCCTCCAGGAGCAAGCATCTCTGCAGCTGGGCCAAGAAAGCTCCTTCCTATGGTTCCAAAGCACACCACAGAGAGAGAAGAAGGCAGGAGCTGATACAAGGGCAGGACCTGACTCAAGGGCAGGGGCTTCCAGAGAACAGCTCAGCCTTTCCCAGCTCTCTCCACTTAGGCAATGGAATCTGGAAAGCCACTGAGTGTCTTCAAGGGACAACCTACCCACAATGGGAGTATTCTGCTCAGAAACAAAAGACCTTCTTCCATTTCAGTGACAAATCCCACACCTAGGACCCTGTGTCAGACCCTCCCAAGACAGCCAGAACTTCTGGGGAGGGTTCCTAGCTTGGCTGACTTGGATCCAGAGTGTCCCTGTAAGTCCTGGGCAGGTATAAGTGATAATGATACCCCTTCAAATCATGCCCCAGATAAAACCCTAAGGCTCCCAAGAAACATAATGAGGGAACAGAAGCACTGAAAGACAAAGCTAAAGGATGCAGCTGGCTTTCCATGGGGCTGGTGACAGGGATGAGGCAGCACGGATTGCCAGGGATCTGTCTCCTGGCCACTCCAAGAAGCACACCTGCCATGCGGGCCTCACAGTGTAGCCTGCTGCTATTCACGGTGAGATCCACCCCAGAGGCTGAGTAACCTCCCTGAGGTGAAGCAGCTAGCCCGCTGGAACATCCATTCGAAAGCAGTTGGTTTCCGGTGCTGTCCTGGATTCTGATTCCACAATTGAGAGGAAGTGTGCCTGATCAGAATCTGCACTGGAGCTCTGGCTCTGGGCCTGTCACTAGTAATCCCTCTCTCTCTTCAAGCCTCAGTTATCCCATCTGTAGAGTGGAATGCTGACACCAGGCTGCTCGGGGGACTGGCAGGAGGGTTAAGTGTGGTCCGGACCCAGCTCTGAGCTCCCGTGTGAACCGCAGCTGTGGTTACTCTGCCCTCCTTGTCCTGCAGGCAGTCTGAACTTTGTGTGATTCCCAAGGGCTATCACTCCGGGTCATGACAGAGGGGATGTACAATAAATGGGTGTAGTTCCTTGCTCATTGCTACCCTCCTGCCTTCTGACCCTCAGTACTCTCTCCTCCAGGATATCGCTTCACCCAAGTTCTCCATGCCTTCCCCGGTCCGGACTGTCATTGCTGCTGACTTCGACAATGACCAGGAACTGGAAGTCTTCTTCAACAACATTGCCTACCGAAGCTCCTCAGCCAATCGCCTCTTCCGGTACCAAACCCAGGCCATGGCGGGTAGAAAATTAGAGGGCAGGATTCCAAGGGTCAGGGAGGCTGTGCTGGGAGGAGGGGCGGAGAGGGAAGAGAGTAGGGGGAGTGTCGGGGGATGATTCTTGATTAAAAGAGGGGAGACCAAGCAGTAGTCTCCAGGCTGTGGCTGGGAATGAGCAGAGAGGACATGGCCTAGACAAGCCCAAACTGGCACCCCCATAAGAAAGAACCCCAACAGCCACAGAAAGGCTTCCAGGGTCGTCTGTTGTGTAAACCTGGGTTAAACAGAGTCTGGCTTATTTACTGCAGACTTCCAAGCAACTATAGTAGAACCTCAGAGTATTTCAACTTTCTGAAAGATGGACAGACAAAGTGTTCCAAATAGATTCGGCCACAGGACACATCTTTCAGAGGTGTCTCTCAGAGGAGGGTTGCTCATCAAAGCATTCTTGGGAATGCTGGAATTGACAGTTAGTGATAGAGACTGGAGAGGAAATCTCAGAGTCTTTGAACATCTGAGCATCCCAGGGACGGAAGGGATCGCCCAATGTGCCTGTGCAGAGCCTGAGGGTCCACCTCAGATCTCCAGGTCGGATCTCAAGGGTTGAGGCCCAGGAGTTGGTATGCCTAACAAAAACAGTGAGCACCCAGCCATTCTTCCACGTGGACGTTTGAAAAGCACCTCAGAGACAAACCTCACAGGGTCTATGATGCCACTAAGACATGTTGTTAGTTTGAGGGATGGAACAAGGATGTTGGAGCTAGGAAATGGGTCAGGTCACCTGCTTGGCCTTCCAAGCCTCTGTTCCTTCTCTCAGGGGGGGCTCAACTATTAATAAAAGGCGCAAGCTGTGACTAAGCATGTTTTAAAATATAATTATTAACCAAGCATCAATCCTGACTGGATGTAATCACCCCCTGAAGGCACCAGATTTACTAATTAGGTGCCTTGCAAAAAGCTTATTCACAACTTCTAGATTAATTGCAGAAGATCAATTGCTCGTTAACAGAGATGCTGCTTTCCTTCTCTGGCTAATAAAGTGTCACTTCTTGGGGCCCCGAGCACTAACTTGTCTAGGTCTCCAGTTCTGTGGCTCAAGAACCCGGGTACCTTTCTGCCTGTCCACTTTCCTGGCCCACTTCAGCCTCCCAGTCTCCCATGCTGGACTCTCAGTCACCACATGGTCGCACTCTGGGGCAAGTCAGCTTCTACTCAGGCAACAGAGCCACTGCCTAGGTACACAGCTGCATCCCAAGTCCCCGAGGCAGATGGCTGGGTCCTGAGCACACAGCTGAGGAACTGCAGCTGGGACCACTGTTCCACTGGCAGCTTGAAAGTTTAACCCCCACTTGCCCCATACTGTGCCACTTTGTTGCCATCACTGAGGGGACCAGCTCCTAGAGCTCAGTGTCTCTCCTGCCACATGCCACTGAGGACTCAAAGCCTCACAGTCCTTTAATGGCGCTTCAGGGAGTGTATAACCCAAACCAAACCCCAGTGACATGAGCCTGTGATGACCATGCAAGCAAGGATGTGAACCATCTCCCAAATATGCATCTAAATACCTCTGGTCTGTTCTCTAGTCTCCCTACACCACTTTCTGATCTTGTAAAATTTTCTATGCCCACCCCCAACCCTCCCCAAGTCTCTAGTCCATCAGAGCAACCAGCTGAAATGCCAGTCTGACCATCTCCTGAGCCCTTTATCACCCTTTGTCTCTGCTGAGCTGCACCAGAGCCTGTAGCACACAGATGGTCAGATGGACAGGGTATGCCAATATGCTCAAGGGTCACGCCTCTAGCAGATGAGCACATGCCCATGCACTTAAGCACAGCACCCTTCCCAGGTACACTGCATGCCATCCGCATGTACGCATGGATGTGTTTAGCCTAGATACCCTAGGTGAACAGAGGATGCATCATGGGCATCTGTATCACCCTGAAATTCTGCAATGGTCTGCATCCAGTAACCACAGGCTCCAGCTCTTGGGACATAGACCCCCTCTGTGGTTTGAGCAGACAGTATGATAGGGAGATAGGAGAAGAAAGCAAGCTCCTCCTGCTCCAGGCTCCTCCTCCAGCCAGGGCAGAAGATCTGCAGCTACAGAATTCAACCAGTGAGAGAAACTAGAGAGGAAAGTTTTCACCACCGAGGACCACACTCTGCTTACTTCATGTAGAGATAGCCAGACAAGAGGAACAGTCTCGGAAGTGCATGCTCGGGGACAGGACTGAGTATTCCAAATACACAGAGGGAATCTTACCACCCAAAGGGACCTTTCCTATTTGCCTCTGAAATTCACCCTAGTATCCCACAAACATGTGCTCGCCTGGAGCTCGCCTGGGGTCTAGGCTCTGTATTTGATGTTGTGGGAGACGAAAAGACAAATTGTACAAGGTCCCAAACTGCAGCAAGCTCACAAAGCAGCCTGAAAGATAAGATGCCCCATGCAGAGCTAACATGGGCAGAAAGTGATAAAGGCCAGGAGAGCGATAAAGGCAGAGGCATCCTGGCTTGTGGCAGGACAGCCAGAAGGTGGAGCGGGAGTGGGTTGAGGAGGGAGAACCTGCATGGGGTTGAACCCTAGGTAACATCCAGAGCTATGGAATCCAGCATCCTTTGGAGAAGCATGAAGGTCAGTTGAAGGTAGCTGTGCCTCTGCCCTTCTCCATCCATCACCTGCCCCTCCCCAGGCTGTCTATAATTCATCTATTAGAGAAGGAAAAAATCAATGTTTTCCAACATAAATTAAAACACAGGAAGAGACCTGCCATAGTGAAGGTAGAGTCTATAAGCAGAGAGAAATTCCACGGGCTTCCAGGGCACAGTGTTGGGGCTGTTGGGAACACAGTGATTGGGCCAGTGGGTCTAGGGAGCCCACGATGGCCATGTTGGAACAACTCTATCCTTTCTACAGTGTTATCCGCAGGGAGCACGGGGACCCTCTCATCGAGGAGCTCAATCCTGGGGATGCCTTAGAGCCTGAGGGCCGGGGTACAGGTAAGGCACTGAAGGCGCAGCTCCTCTACACAGCTCAGCCCAGTTCATAGCCTTGGGGAGGGAGGATCAAGGAGTCAGGCAGCCAATCTCATCCCAAGTGAGGACAGAGGAGACCCCTGTGCCCAGAGACAGGAGGCAGGAGGCCATCACATCCTCAGGACTGCTGGGGGAGGGGGAGGGCCTGTGGGCAGCAGTAGTTTCTGTAGCCATGCCTTATGTAGAGATGGGAGGGCTGAGGAATGTGCCCCCTCTGCTCCCTGGCAGGCATCCTGGGTCTGGCCCTTCCCCTCCCGGCAACCAGCCAGACAAATGGCATTGACTGGGAGTCTGGGATGTAGGTCTGTGGCTGCTCTCTTTTCTGGGTTTTGACTTCCACAAAATGAGAGTGTCTGCCTTTCTCACCTCTTTGGGTTGTGAAGAGGACCAAAAAGAGACCATGTCTATGCAAACACCAGAGACACTGAAAAAAAACAAAACAAAAACCCACTATGTAAATTAAGAAGTCTATCATTCAAACCACAGGAGAAGCCAGAAGTAACCTGTGTCCATCCCCTCCATGAAAATTCAGGGGAAGGATGGGAAACCTGTCTGTGGATTCCTGTCTTGAGCCAGATGATGGGCAGGAGAGGAACGAGCCTGCAGCCCCGTTCCTGCCCCAGCACTGTGCTCTTTCTGCCTCTCACACTCACAGCTATCTGTTGTCACCGCACCTAGGAGCCCCTCTTCCCTAAGTCTAGATGTTGACGGCCAGAGGGGAACTCTGCCTTGTTTGTAGGGGGTGTAGTGACTGACTTCGACGGCGATGGGATGCTGGACCTCATCTTGTCACATGGGGAGTCCATGGCTCAGCCGCTGTCTGTCTTCCGGGGAAATCAGGTATGCACTGACCTCAGGCCCTTTAGCTCCCAGCCTGGTTTGCTTCCAGGGACCCACGCGTGCATTTGGGCACCGGAACCTGGACTCACTGACCAGGATGATGGAGAGCCTAGGACCTGGAAACATAAGTTCCCAGCAGGAAGGACTACTTCCGGGATAACCCCTTGCAGGAAGGACTACTTCCGGGATAATCCCTTGCTCAGCCCTCTGCCTTCTGCCACAAGAACTTCTTGGCCCCAAACCTTGCTCCACAGTCTCTCGGCTTACCTCCTCCCTGGAGCAAGCGTTGCCCATGTTCCTCTTCCTTTTCTCTTCTGCTCCTCTCCTCTTCCTCCTCTTCCTCCTCTCCTCCCCCCTCCTCCCCTTTTCCCTTCCTTCCTCCCGTACTTCTCTTCTTGCATCCCTCCCGCCTCCCTGCTCTGTGTCACCCTGGCTGATGCCTGTCACCTTCCTCCCTCCAGGGCTTCAGCAACAACTGGTTGCGTGTGGTGCCTCGCACCCGGTTCGGGGCCTTTGCCAGGGGCGCCAAGGTTGTACTCTACACCAAGAAGAGTGGGGCGCACCTACGGATCATTGACGGGGGCTCCGGCTACCTGTGTGAGATGGAGCCAGTGGCACACTTTGGCCTGGGTGAGTATGGAGTACGGGGCCCATGGGAACAGTAGCAGATCCTCAAACTAAGTCCTTACTGTGTGCCGTGTGATTCAGAATCACACACACACCCGCCCTAGGATTTGAGATGTAACGTCTCTGTGGCAGCACAGTGGTTGCCTTTACAGTGGGCAGTGAGTGAGTTCTGTGGTTCTGTGTTGAGTCTGTGCCCAAGAGAGAGGAAGGGAGGAAGAGGGAAAGCAGGAGCCCCCAGCCCGGGGCCTCTGTGGAATTAGCTCACCTCGGGAGCAGAGTAGCTAGCTCTCCGTTCTTAACTCTGCCCAGACCATAGCTTTGTTCACACACTGAACTCCAACAGATATATCCAGAGCATTGCCCCCCTCCAACCTCCCAGGAGCCAGCTCAGTCTTTAAGGTACTGCCCAGAGTCTGAAGTCCTCCTCAGATGGAAGGCTTGGAGTCCTGAGTTTTCAGTGGGCACAAAGTCACCCTGAGAGGTGAAGGCTGGATCTTGGTGGAGGACGGAATTCTTAAAACCCCCCTCTTCTATATGTCTAAAAGCAGGGATCTCCATATATCACAGAAGCAGTCAACAGCACAGAGCTCTTCCTACACAGCATTTAGAACAGCCCCCAACTCATGCTGCAAGCTGCTTGCCAGCTTCCAGACACGGGAAACCGGCTCTGTTGTAGTTGTGGGGTTTATGTAAGCTCCCATTCTAAAAACGCTTCTGAGGGTCATATTTTTAGTTTCGTGTTTATTGTTAGTGGCGAGGGTGTGGGTCATCCATGCATGCGGTAGTATGAGCACAACTCTTGCAGAGTCGGTCGGCTCTCTCTTCCTCCTTTATGTAGGTTCCAGGGATCGAACTCAGGTCACCGGGCTTGCATGGCAAGTGCCTCTACCTTCTGAGCCATCTCCCTGGCCTGTTTGGTAGATTCTTTCGAAATAATAAAAACTTGTTAGGTATGCCCCAGCTGTTACAGATGCTCCTTGATCTACACTGGGGTTCCATGCCAAGGCAAGTTAGAAGATCTTAAGTTGGGAAGGCATTGAGTTGTTCAGCATACCAAAGACACACCCTAGATTAGCAGCATGGTATACTGCAGAGTGTCGGCTGTCCCCTTCATGACTATCCACCACTGCCCAATGTCCCAAGGGAGGACCTTGATGTATAGTACTGGACCAGGAAAAAACCATATTCAAAGTCCTAGGTTCAGTTTCTAATTGCATATCTCTTGGTTTTCACATCAAAAAGTTACAAATGCCATCACCAATTGGAGGACAGTCTGTAATATCCCTAACTGTGTATCACAGAAGAATGAAAAGTTAGACACACAGAGATCTCTGCGCTGTTATTCATAGTAGTGGTATGTTTGTGAGACAAAAATCAAAAAAACCATATCAGAGGGCTTGGGGGGTGGGGGTGGTGCATGCCTTTAATTCCAGCTCTCTGGAGGCAGAGGCAGGTGAATCTTTGAGTTCTAGGCCAGCCTGGTCTACAGATCAAGTTCCAGAACAGCCAGGGCTACACAGAGGAACCCTGTCTCAAAAGACAAAATAGAAACAGAAACATGCAGGTGTCCTTTGTTTATGGTTCAGCTTGCTGTGGTATACTGATGCAATCCAGCCGTAAGAGCTGTTTGCTGAGTAAAGAGGTCTTTCCTCCAAAGTCACCTTCCCAAAATGACGAGGTCGTAGAACTGAAGACAGACAGCTCCCAATAAAGAGATGCTGACAGGCAGTTGCCCATATGGGGCCTCTCCACAGTGATGGGCAGTGGGTGTCTCAGTGGCAGTGGCTACATGAATCTAACGTGCCATCATGACAGAACTGTCCACACACCTGTTCCCGTGGCAAAGCATTGATTTCCAAGTGGTAAATCAGGAAGCAAGCCATAACCACCGGGGCAGCTGTGTATACAAACCCCTCTGTGCTATCTTAACTACCTGCTGTGTCTCCGGTTATTTCAAAATAAAGCATTTTTTAAAAGCCTGGAAGTTAGAGGAGGATGTGAAAATTCCACAGGGAAGATGCAGGAATTACAATTAATGGGCCAAAGGCTGAGGGGTACTGGAGGAGGGGTGAACGGGAGTCAAAGCGTGTGAGTCGAAGATTCCCAGGTGCTAAACAGATGCTTTCCCATGTGTTAGCACCTCGTGAAGTGATATGATCTTAATATAAAAAGATTAGACAACATGTTCTCTAATCGATAAATATATAGCAGCATATACCAGCATTAATATTAGACACACATCGTATGTGCACAGAAAGGAAACGCAAAGCGCAAAAGCAATTGCTTCCGTGTACTTGGCTAGCTCACTACAGGGACTGCTGCCTGATCTGGGCGCAGTCCAGGGCACTCAGTTCTCATGATTTGGTCCTCATGAGTACCCCTGGTGGGCAGCATTATCTCCATCTTAAACATGAGGAGACCCTGGATACTAAAGTTAGAGGAAGACTGCCCAGGAGCTCATGGGATTCAAACCCAGGCCTGTCTGAAAATGTGGTTTGTATTTTCTACCATATGTTCTAGTAGATGTGTGTGCATTCTATTGTTTATAGAGAACACATAATATTTATGTAGTCTGAGAAAGAAGCAATAAATATTTAGGGGACCCAGGGCCTGGTTATATGAGCATGTTCCCGGGCTCTTGCGCTTGGATGGGTTAGCCTGAGCCTGGGGCATCTGTCACTCCTAAGGCAGCCATTTGCTATGCTGGCCCTAAAGGTACAAGCTGACTTAAACATGGAGTCCTCCCTCTTGCAAGCTAAGAGTAGCTGACACCTACAGAGTGTTTCACATGTGCAGAGCTTTGCCTAAATTCTTCAATTCTCTTGGGAATTTGATGAATTATTAACCCTAGTCCACACTTTACAGGCCAGAAAACTGAGGTTAAGGCTAAATGTACTGACCCAGTTCACAGCTCCTAAGGCTAGAAAATGGCTGGCTTTAGACTCCTTAGACACTGAGTTGCAGGGCTCTGTGGCTTCACCTCCTGTGTCTTCTCTGCCTCTTTCTTCCTGTCATGTATATATCTCCTCAGATTTTGGGTATCCAAGAAGGCCATTCAAGCACCAAGGTGGGTGCTGTGTCAAAAGTGACATGTTTATCAAGCTAGATGTCAGCCCCTCCTCCACTGGACAGAAAAAAAAAAATCGAGGCTCCCAGAGTAAACCAGCAGAGAGACAGGAGCGGAGCTGAGGCTGTCTGGCCTCACATCCTGTAGCCGTCTCTGGTATTTTAAGATGTGTATTAGAAACCACCCTGGGTCCTTTCTGTGTCCAGAATCTGTCATCACCTTGAGAGCCTGCATCCTTAACTGGACAGTTGCCAGGATCATTTGGTGAGATCCAGGGTGCTCAAGAGTCATCTACCACCCATGCTTAGGGCTACATACACTGCATCTGACTGGGGGGCCCCTCCTGAGGCCAGCCCTCAATACTATGCAAAGGATGGGATTTGCTGTTGGTTTAAACCAAATTGCTGCAAGGGACCCACACCCTACCCCTACCAGGCTCCTCTTTTGTAGGGCTCCATTCCCAGAAGGACCCTAAAAGGAGGCCTACTCTCCAGAACAGACCCCTTGTTAGCTGCCTGAGACTGGTCTCAGGCATCAGGGCAGCCTCTGGGGTCAGTCCAGAAGCCTGAACAGGGCAGGCCAGCTCCATTCCTGCCTCTTCAGGGCCCCTTAGCATCCCGACATGTTCTTTATGGGCTGAGCATAGAGTTGTCCTTGCTGAATGATGGAGATGGCAGCAACAAGGCAGAGCAGGCAGGGAGGGGGAGACGGGGAAACCTGAGCTAGGAACGACTGAGGAAAAAGAACAAGGGGAGAGAGACACAGCAGAAGAAGAATGAAAGAGAGGCAGAGACATGGGGGAAAAGGCAGGAAGAAACACTGCGGTCTGCTGGGTAAACCCTGGAAATCTCTTGCAAGGCTGACTCGGATATACCCTCTGCTGACATGGAGTATTGAGAGGATGGGACAAGTAAAATCAACTCTGTTCTAGACAGCTTTGCCAAGGAGAAGACTGGGACGGGTGAGGGGGTAGGTGGGGGAAATGGTGAGAGGTGGTGGGGATGGGAGTGGTTAGCAAGATGGTAAGAACTTAGAAGGCAGGGCCAGGGCTGAGAACATTCCAGAGGCCAGGCTAGCTTGAACCATGGCCCGGTGGTGGGAATACTCAGTTGGAGGGACAGGAGCAGAACCTGGAAAGTGGGGACTGGGCCTAGCTCCCTGGGGTCTCCAGGTGGGTGGACAGGCCCTGGTAGACAGAGGGTGTCCTGTCAGATCCAGGAAAGCCAGAGGTAGCACTGTGGTGAGAGCCAGTGTGCAGGGGCAGCATCCCCCACAGCTCTTGTTCTTAGAGACCTCTTAAAAATTTTCTCTTGATTGTGAGAACAATGTGTATTGATTATAGGGAAATGAGACAATACAACAAATCATAAAAAGAAGTAAAAATCACCCACAATCTCATCACAGTGCTCGGAATATTAAGTAAAAAAAAACACAAACATCTCCTCCTTCACCCCAGCCCCATCTGATCCATTCATTCCTTTCCGTTCATGTGCACTGAACACCTACTAGGTGCCCAGCAGTAACTACATCAAGAGCTTTGCCTTGAAAACCCCTGTATTCGAGTAGGCAGATGAAAAGCATGGAATACATGAACAGAGTAAGTAGGTGAAATAGACCGTGTTAAGATTGTATTAGGTGCTACAAAGAAAATGCCAAGCAGGGAAAGGAGGTTAGGAGTGGGCGGGAGAAGGGACAACAGCAATTTTCAAATATGAGGTCACGCTTCAAATAAGCCTTTCTCCCAAGCAATGCACACAGGGTACATACATAAATATACATACTACTTAGGGTTTGGTTTTTTTTTTTTTTTGAGAACAAAAAATGGCAATACTTTCTCCACTTGCTTTTTTTACTGCCCTGGACAGTGGGAGCCTGGCCGTCCCTCCAAGTCTATGCGTTGCTTTTATTTTCCTCCAGCGCTGCAGAGTATCGCACTGTGTGGCAGCATTCATAATTTATTTACCAAGTCCCCTGTTGATGGACAGCTAGATTGTTTCCAGTTCTGGGCATTTGGGGGGTGAGATGGAGATTGTCTAGAAGGTGTCTTTGGGACAGGCCTGTCCTAGGGTTCTGGATGGCTGAGAAGAGGAGTAAGAGTGAGGCTGTCCAGAGGCCGGATCTGGAGGGGAGATCTGCAAGGGGCCCTCCGGACAGTAGGCACACAGTTCTGACCCAACCTAAGCAACCCTGCTCCCTGGTGGTCCTCACTCCGTGAATCCCTCCCCGCTACTCCTTTCTGATGTGATGAGCTGGTGGCGGGGGGGGGGGGGGGGGGTTGATCATAGAGGTGAGTACACGGGTGGGCAAACAACCCCAGCACTTCCGGCTCACACGGGGTCAGACTCAGCACTTCCGGTCCGCAAGGGATGCCGGGTCAGACTCCCAGGGGCTGCACTCGCTGAGGCACACCTGCCCGCGGTTGTCTCTCTGAAAGCTCCAGGCCGTACTAGGTCTGTACAGGAACAATAACAGCAGACTCAGACTTTGTAATCTCACCTCCCTTCCTAGAATACCTGAGTTGTGCTGCACCAGGCAGTAAAAAACAAAACAAAAAAATTAACTGTGGGACCTTTTGAAGCCTTGATCTCTAGGGATCCCCTGAGGACCCATTCAGCTATGCAGGGCATTATGGGTCTTGTTCCTCCTCAGCAGACCCTGCCCTCACTCCAGAGACCTCACTCCAGGGAACCCTAACCACATTCAGTAGTTCCTGCACAGCTGTCCCCCCCTTGTCTTGTCGCTGCTCTTCCTGGGCACAGGACCACCTGCTGGCTTCATAAATAAGCCTTTCTGTTTATAGTGTTGAATGCTGCCCACCCAGCCCCCGACAGGGCTACCTTTGCACTTCCTGACAGTCGGTAGGCTGACCCAGTGCACAGCCAAACCCAGCAAATAAAAACAAGTCCTGCCAACCCACTTGTCCCCTGGAGGCCCCCAACTGCGGTCACCCACTCAAGTTCTTCCAACCCCACGCACTGATACCATCCCACCCCGCCCCCCTCCACCGCACCTTCCTTTCAGTTAATTGTTTGTAAGTGACTCAAAGCTGCCTCCAAACCGGCTGGTGCTCATTTAGGGAAGGAAAATTCAGTGGCCCACATAAAAATGCCTTTATTAAAGTGCAAAAATATTCCACCGACTGTAGTCCCACCATCTGCTCTGCTTGTAATTCCGAAGAGCACAATTCCACGTGGTTCCCTGACCTTTGTCCTTTCAAGGCTGCCAGAGGGCAGCTTCCTGCTGTTCCTGACCTATGTCTCTGCTGGGTAATGATGCCTCCTAGGTAGACCCCCCCCCTGCACTTAGGCACAGCCGAGTGGCTGCCTCAGGGGCCAGGAGCCAGGCCCTCCAGCCTCAGGGACACTGGAAATACCTGAGCAGCAGCCTAGAGCTGAGGAATCTTATCTGCCTGTCAGATGACAGAGCCTGGGTTCCAGCCCTGGCTCAGATATTCCCAAGTCCCTTCCTCCCTTGCCAAGCCTTGGTGTCTAAATCCAGAAAATGGACATCAAACACCTACCTTACAAGTGCAAAAGCTTCAAAGTTCCTCCCTAGGTTCCTGCCCCACCCAATAACATCCTTCCACTCTGCCTCCCCCAATGTTGAACTTCTGCACCTTCAGACACAACTTGCCCTTTCACACCCGCGTCCTTACCAAGCTGCTCCCCACCTCTGAATGCCTTTCTTCTCTGTCCCTGACCTCATGAAACAAGCCGCTGTTCTCACTGAGTGTCACCAATCCTGTGGCAACACCTTCATCACTTGTTATGATAACATTGTGATCGGTTTGCTCACAGCCACCCGCTCCCTCCAGCTTGCCTGGGTCCTTTCCGTTCAAGGCTGAATTCTAGATCCCTGCTCAACATTTGATATGTGATGTCACTGGGTAGGGGCAGTATAACAAGGGTGAATCTCTGGGGTCACACAGGCCCTGGGTGGGTGACTGGGTAATTTCCCTCGCCTCTAAGTCCCAGTGTTCTAGTCTCTAAGATGAAGCAGTGTAAAGGTGTGAGGGGCTGATATGTTAACACCATGAAGCGTTGCGTCTGGTCCGAGCATGCCGTCCGTGTTCAGCGTTACTCCCTACCTAAGAGCCGATACTGACCAGAGTACCAAGGGTGACACGTGATCAGTGGGGCACTGTTCATGATCCAGGGGAGAGAGGCTGTGCTGCCCAGGGCGGAGGGGCTGTAAGCCCACACCCCCAAGTTTCAGACAAATAAACCAAGACTGGAAAAGGATGGCTTCCTTATTTATCTGACAGCCCCTCCCTGGTGCGTGCAGGCAGAGGACCTGGTCCAGAGCCACATGCCCCAGTGGGGGCTGCAAATTTGAGTCTATGAATATTCCTCAACTCTTTTGAGTTATTTGTGGCTCCAGTCAGGCTGTAAAATGTATTCATGGAGCTTCTTCTGTTGGCTTAGGTGCGAAACACTTGCTTTTGTCTCCTTTTTTTTTTTAAATGGAAAATGTTTGCTTTTCAAATGTGCCACTTAATTTGGGCACTTGCACCCCCTAAAAATGCCAAATTTCATGTGCCTCACGATTCTGTTTTAAAACAGAAGAATTATACTTGTCCTTCTTCGGGTCCTTTCCCAACCCCCGCTCTGGGAGTTGTGGGGATAGCAACCGAGCCTGCTGAGAAGCTGCCTCTGGCTAGGTAGGGGTTTCTCAACCTGTGGGTCCCGACCCCCCTGGGGTTGAAGGGCCCTTTCACAGATATTCACAGATATTTACATTACAATTCATGACAGTAAGAAAATTATAGTTATGAAGTAGCACAGAAAATGATTTTATGTTGGGGGTAACCACCACATGAGGAACTGTGTTAAAGGGTTGCAGCATTAGAAAGGTTGCAAAGAGCTGATCTAGATGAAGTAAAACCGGAAACAGGGGCTTGAGCCATCTCCCCTCTCCCCTGCCCCGGGGTCTGTGGGAGGAACAGGGATGCAGGTGTGAACCTTGTCCTCTGAGCCCTTCCCGTGACTGTCCCTTCAGCGGTGTGCTGGGCCCTGCCTGCCTTCCCTTACCTGAGAAAGGCTGGTAGGTGCGGCTGATCAACCCCATTAGCCCCATTAGGTCATCACCGTTAGCCAGACCTCGCCACATGGCTCGCCCATTTCCCCATGCGGGACCTTGGCAATGCCTGAACTCCGGACCAACTTTCCCAGCCTGCTTCTTGATGCTTTGCTATAGCATGCTGCTACAGGGATGTGTGATGGACTCACAAGGGACATTGTCTGAGCTTCACAGGTGTCTTTTGTAAACGACTGAGATCTGTCTGCAGTGCCCTTCCTCGGGTGGCCTCAACCCCCACCCTTCCTGAGTCTTTACTTACAGCTCAGCTCAAGTGCCTCCTCCCTGGGAGTTTGACCCTGACCACTGAACAGGATCTGGCCAGCCCCCAGTGAGCCCTCGTCTTTTCTTCACAAAGACAAACAAATGCCATGATTTACTTCTTTATTCGTCTGCTTGCCCGCCTCCCAGATGGAAAGGGAACCCCATGAGGAGACATTCCCAGTGACAGGAAAAGGGCTTGGCTCCTAGCAGAACTCCATAAATAGAAACACGAGGCATGCTCAGAAGGTCACATGAGCTGGCTAGAGAGGTAGGATTTGTCCCCAGGACTCCCAGCCACCTGCTCTCCATCATGTTCTTTCAGCATACCAAGTGAGTGACAGAGCCAAGATCTGAACCCCTGGCTCGGAAGTCAACCTGCTTCTCACCAAGCCTTACAGCTCCCCAAATTCAACCTCCTGATGCCTGTCCTGTTGCCTAGAATGCTCGAATATGGTAGCCACTAGAATTGTGTAAATTAATTTAAATGAAGTAAAATGTTAAATTCAGTCACTCCCATCCTGCACGTGGCTAGTGCACTGAACAGGGTAGACACTGGGCTTTTCCTTCTCTAAAGAATGGTCAATGGGACAGTGTGACCCCAAGGAGGAGCTTCTCACTCATCCCCACAGCCCTTAGGAGAATGTGTCGTTAGTCACTATCTTTGTTAACATATGTATGCAGGTACTCCAAGAGGCCCTCTCTCCTACGCTCCTGACCCCTCTCCTTCCTCCCACAGGAAGGGATGAAGCCAGCAGCGTGGAGGTCACGTGGCCAGATGGCAAGATGGTGAGCCGAAGTGTGGCCAGCGGAGAGATGAACTCAGTGTTGGAAATCCTCTACCCCCGGGACGAAGACAAACTTCAGAACACAGCCCCACTAGAGGTGGGCCAAAGCCTCTGAGCCGCACAGTCAAAAAAAAAAAAAAAGCAAGCATCCCCCATGATCCTAGGGTAAATCTGTAGACTTGCCCTCTAGAATAACAGAGATGGTCTCAGCAAAGGGCAGGCCTCAGGATGGTGTCTCCACTTGTAGTTTAGCAACACACCCACATCTCCTCAACCTCTCACAGAATCCTGGAGAGTTGGCAGGTCAATGGGTTGTGCACCCATTTTACAGAGGAGGAAACCAGAGGCCGAGAGAATGAAGCCAAGGCCAGCTAAAGTTACATATCCAGTTGTGCACTGGGTTGAGAACTGATTCCTAATTTCAGTATTTTCTGAATACCTCAAGAGGCCTCTTCTTGTCCTTGGATGAGGCTCAGACCGTGTACCAGAGTTCTGGAGGCTTCTGAGGGGTTAGCTCTGGTCCAGTTTCAGGTCTGTCTGACATACACAGATCTCAAGTACAGGGAGAGTGTGGATTACATCTGTTCTGCTCTTCCCCTGCCCACACCATCTCTCTCCATTCTTAGATAAAGGCTAGAATAAGAGGGAGGGGCTCCCCTCAGGCCCAGGCTAAGAGCACCTCTCGAGCTGCAACCAGGGTGACAGCTACTCTGTTACTGTGACTAGGAGGGGACTGAGATGAGGCCTCTCAACTCACAAGTGTCTCTGCTTCTGCCCACCTTGCAGTGCGGCCAAGGATTCTCCCAGCAGGACAATGGCCATTGCATGGGTGAGTTGCCTATAGGCACCAGAGGACGGGGCAGAGGCTGGGATCTTCCTGGGGACTGTCAGCCTGACCTGCCAAGACCCAAGATGCAGACAGGGGTTAGAAAGATAGGGAGAGGAAGGTGCCATTGGTTCTTAGGGCTCCAGATGCCAAGACAGCGATGCCATGACTCACCAAGGTGAAAGTGACATTAGCAACTGCAGACTGATTCATTCAGTTCACTGCTGGGCATTGGCAGGACCTGCCTGCCACGACTATCAGAACGAGCCTGGGGATAGCACACATTGTCACACAGACATTGAGACTTGTGATGGATAAGCTTCACCCTGGCAGAGGCAGAGCAGAAACGTTTTATGGCCAGCCTGAGGAGCAGCCAGTGAGGAGGATGAGAGACGGAGGGGAAGCTGATCGGGGAAGGCATTTGGGCACAACAGGGCGTGGAATGTGATCACGGTGCAGATAGGGTACTGCAGCCTAGTCCAGCACAGAGGAGGCTCGTAGCTGCCAGATGCCAGCTCAGCAAGGGACTCGTGACTTTCTAAAGTCTCCCAATATGCTATGAAGGGGATAGTCTAGCAGCCCAGGGTCCAGAAGATGTCCAAGCCAAACCCTTACATCATGATGATGTGCAATGAGGACTTAGGACAAGGATTCTTTCTTCCTTAGACCCAGAAAAAACTAGACACAGCCCCAATCTCGTGGAGCTCACAGACCCTCATACAAACTGCTGATGGCCATATATTAAACTATCTGGGGTGAATCCCAGAAGGCAACCTAGAGAAATTGAGGTCAGCCTGTGACCCAAGGGATGACATGATGTGTAGGACAGCCACAGAGAAGGAGTCAGTGTGCCCATGGAGGACGCTGCCTGGGCATAGGCGTACAGAATGAGAAAGTATAGGAACTAGAGATTAGGGTGTCATGGAAGATTAGGGTGAGGAAGACATGGTTCCCCCATACAGTCCGTGTCCACATCCTGGTCACATGATACATGGACGACACAGGCACAGGAGACCTCGGTTCCTTCTCTACATGCGGAGAAGACCCTTTGAGATTCCAGACCTAGCACAGTCCTCCTTTCTGTCACCCAGCAGACCTCCTACATGATAGTACATGGTAGTACCGTGTCAGGCTCTGAGGATGCGGCCAAGTGTCTTACCTTACCTTTGCATCCTGGTAGAGAGGGTCAGACAGCATGAGATTACACAGCATGAGAAAATGAGTTAAGAGCCCTGTCAGCAAGGTGCTCCCTAGGGATTCGGCAGAAAGATCAGAAAGTACTACTGGTAAAGGGACTTTTAAGCCAAGACCTCAAGGAATAGAAGGGCCAGCCCCAGAAGGAGCTGATAGGAGAGCTTTCTTGTAAGAGGAAGAACAAAGGCAAAGGGCATGAGGTTGTCACAGGACTGTGTGTCACAGGCACTGTTACAGCTGAGATGAGGCAGGGAGCATAGCACAGGTTGAGGAGGGGCTTGAGGCTCCAGGAAGGAGCCTGGACTTTGTTCTTAGGCACTCGGAAGCTAAGCAAGAGAGTGACCCAATGTGATTCACATTTTTAAAAGATCACTCTGGCTGCTGAATTGCAGGCTGGTTGGAGGGGAGCGTGGAAGCCGGGAGGCCAGTAAGGCAGCTGCTGCAGAAATCCAGGCAAGAGACCATGGGGGCTGGGCATAGGGTGGTGGCAGAGTGAGGAAGATGAGGCATGGGGCAGAGCGGAAAGGACTCCCGCTGTGGGATTGTACCCTGGGGTGAGGAAAAGGGTGGACCTGGAGATGACTCTGATTTCTGCTGGTGTGGCTGAGCAGTTGGTGGCGGCACTGATGGACCCATGGAAGATGGAAACAGGACAGAAGAGGCTTAAGGGCTGAGGGAAATCAGAGTTCCATTTTGGAAATGATCAGTCTGAGGTGTGGATTAGGCATCCAGGTAGAACTGCCATCCAGGTCATTGGTGATTGGATTTATGAGCTTGGAGCCCAAAGGAGAGGTCACGGCTGAAGGGAGGAATTTTTCATCCATCCACGTATAAAGAGTTTATCTAGAGAACGTATAGTGTATAGAAGAAAACCAGGACCAAGCCTGAGCTCTCCCAATATGCACAGGTCCAGGATAGGAGGAGCTATCCAAGGGCACTGAGGTAGAGAGACAGGCCCAGCAAGAAAGGACATGCCTAGGGTCACAGATCAGTGGGCAGACAGATCCTAAGCTAGGACATACTGCCCACACGTCCCTGGTGAGCGGCTCCCTTGTCTTGCAGACACCAATGAGTGCATCCAGTTCCCATTTGTATGCCCTCGAGACAAACCCGTGTGTGTCAACACCTATGGAAGCTACAGGTGCCGGACCAATAAAAGATGCAATCGGGGCTATGAGCCCAACGAAGACGGCACAGCCTGTGTGGGTAAGTGGAACCCTGGCCACATTCAGTAGCAAAGGACACATGTCTTGTGCTGGGGCGTGGGAGGGAGGGATGGGTGGCTCTGAGTGGACTCCAGGCCACAGTCATTACCCCTGTATCCCCAGGATTGACAGATGCTCCTAGACTCACATTAGTTTTCCAGGGGAGACCATGCCAGGCTTGGAGAGACCCCATCTCTACTGTCCCACCAGAAGGGCCCAGGGGTAGTGTGTCCTGGTATTACCGATATTCCCTCTACTCATGGTTTCTGAAGCAAGTGTTCTGACCTGGCGGTCAGCCCGTATTTTCATAGCTGGGGTAGAAAGTAGCTTCTCTAAGGCACCATTGGTGGAGAATTTCTGAACTAGTGTTTGTCTTCTCCTTCCTCCCAAAATCCTTCCTCCCAACCAACCCTTTGTCTCTTCCCCATTTTTTACCTCCCCGCCCTTTCATTTTTTGCAGCTCAAGTGGCCTTTTTAGGTGGGTATTCTTCGGCTGCCTTTAGACTCTCTGAGCCTCTCTCTCAGGTCTCGTATCTTTCTCTAGGCCTGGGACTTTGCCTTCAGTTATATGCACTTTAAATCCCATCAATAAAGGAAAAAAAATCTAACAACCTTTGTGGAAAACTATATCTCTCCTGCTGCCTACCTCTCTCCACACCCAATAGATTCCGCCATGTGCTCCTTCGAACGGACAGCAGGGGTGGCCATCTTTGAAAAGGGAAGTTTGGGAGATACTGATGGGACCTTAGTTGTTGGTGAAGCCCTTCTTTGCATGTTTTCTGAGAAAACAGAAAAGGAAAGTATCTCCCTCTACCCCACCCCTCATTCCGTCAGAAGAACCAAGAGAGTCCAGTCGTTTCTGTATCTTCGTGAGCGTCTTATTTTGCCCTTAACAAAGATGGCTCCCAGGTGGTTGCTTGCTCAGTTGATTCAGTAATGTATCATGTGCCTGCTGACTTGGCCTGTGCTGTTGCTGCTTTGTACAACCTGATTTCCTATGATTACGAAAGCCTTATTGGGTTGGTGGTGGTGACGGGAAAGGGAAGGGTGGCCCTTTGGGACTGTCGATAAAAATGCTTAAGTTTGAACTTGCTAAGTCTTCCAGCCTCTTTTCTGGAGAAATTATGTCAATAAACTCTCTGCTGGATACTAGCTAATGGGCGAGGGGTGTCTGAGCAAGCACATGCTGGTCGGAGTGTTGAGTGAGCTGTGACCCTTCCACCCAGAGGTACATGGAAACAAGTCATGATGGAAGGGAAGTGCCACCCTCAGGCACCAGCCATGTGGTTGGGTGAAGGAAACACTTCCTGGAGGACCAGGCAAGGCATGTGGAGTGAGAAAGGGAAGCCATGGAGGCAGTACTCTGTGCAGTATCCTTCCGGGAATTAATGTCTCCATTCTGAACCGCCATTGCCTTTCCATAAATGACAAGAGAGTTGGGTCAGTACATCCATACATCCCTTGTTCTCCCCAATTCCCTGCTGTGTGACTGGACATAGATATGGCTAGTCTCCAGCAGTTCTGGTTTCTAGAAAGAACTTAACAACTCAGCCTTTGCAATATGCTTAGAACCTGGAAGTGCCCTGAGCCAGAGTGCTCTTTGGGGATGATGTAACACCACAGAATATGCTCATGACCAGCTCTGGTAGGGAAGGCCCATTATAAATCACAGATATATTCTTCATGGGGGAAAAAAAGTCGCTTGAAGATATAATAAAATCATGCTTAAGAATGCAGCAAGCCTTTTAAAAACATATTTAACAAAAAAACTACCTTTTTCTGATACCATAATAATATTCCCAATAAATCACAGAATATGAATTCCTTGTAGCTAGTTCTGTGTTTACACTCAGAACCAGAGCCTAAATGAAAAGTTTTAAAATGAAAACAGCTACGGTTTCCCGGGGAAGCACATAACAACTTAAAAATCGTTCCAATTCCACCAGCACCGTCTCTGCGTATCGACAGGGAATTAAAGATCTCCAAGGGCCCCAGACAGGAGACTCAGAGAGATGAAGTGATTGAGGTCACCCTGCCCAAGGTCACAGAGCCAGCTGGCCCCCAAGCCAGGCCTGCAGGCCTTTCCTGCCATCTTCTTGAGGGTGAGCGGTGGCCTACTCGCTACTTGGACTTTTCCCTGTTCACTCCAGAAGCTGTTGCCTTTTCAGAAATGAACAAGTGGATCTGAGATAGCTAGACAAGGAAGACCCAGAGCCCACAGGGACTGATCGCAACCGCATCGGCAGTTGGAAATGACAAGATAACCAGCTCCATTGAGTGGCCACACACGTCAGTGTGAGAAATGGGGGGTAGAAAAAAAACCAGCAAGACAGCCTGCCAAGAACACCAAGTGTGACGGCCAACTCCAGAGGAGCCTGATCCCCCCCCCCCAGCATGTTGAATTTCAGGCCACAGGGTCTGGCTGTGCCATTTTTTCCTATCTGGTGGGAAGGTCCAAGGAGTCAAAAAGAGAAGTTCAAGGCTCCCTAACTGCTAAGAGCAAACTCAGGGTGAGAAGGCTTTCCCTGGGGCTCCTTCACTGAGCAGCTAGTGGCTGAACCCCTGCTCTACAACAGCCCCTGAGTGGGGCTCTAGGTTTGTAACAGCAAGTAAAGATAACGTGGTTGAGACCCCACATGCACACGGCCTTCCCTCCAGCCAGATGGAAAAAGCCAAGTATAAGGGTAGGAGGGGGGCCATAATTGGCTTTCTTCAAAGTCTGGCTAGGTTCTCAGGTTACTGCACCTGAGATGCAAACAAAACACATTCATTTATTTATCCATGTGTCCTTTCAGCAAGTGTGTATTAAGAACCTCATGGGTTTCTCATGAAGAAGGTGACCAGCTCCCTTCAGTGAGAAGCTTAAGGCTCCTACACCCAAGATACTGGAGGAAAATAGATGAGGCTAAACTATGGAAGATGGGCAGACACTGAACCAACCCAACTTCACCTGCCCCCAGGCCCAGGCCCGCCACTCGACAGGCATCCAGATACTGGAGCCCGGTCCCTCTGGCTCCAGACCCTCATTTCACGGCCTGAGCGTTATCAGCTACGGGTGAGTGGGTGCAAGCTTCAGCAAGGTGTACCAGGCCAGTTCCCTCATCCTCTTAACCCTTCTGCTTCCTCTTCCTGAGACTCATGGCATCTGAGCCCTTGTTGTCTCCTTCTGAGCACACACACCCATCTTTCTTCTGTCCCATAGACCCACGTAGGTCCCTGACATCTTTTTTAGGTTATGCTTCAAGTTGTAAAAATTTTAAAAATGGAAAGACCCTCAGGGCAGGTGAATAACACACAATCAACTCAAGCCAAGCCAGAGTGGGGATCTTTTCCAGAATTCATCCCATTTTTCAAGAATACCCCCAAAATGATTTTAATAATTTTAATAATAATAATAACTACAACAATAATATCACTTTTATTCTGTCTGATGCAGCCTGCTCCAAGAATGCTCCCCCTCAGAATGACAATAATAGCTTCCAGTGAGTGAGCTCAGCAGGTCTGGGTAGGCTATAAACTCTTTACAAGAACCAACTTGCTTAATCCCTGCAGCAATCCCTAGAGGAAAGGGCTATAATTACAGGGATAAGTTAAGTGGTTCCCCAGGATCACACAGCTGGGATAGGCAAAGGTGAGGTGGCGTCCCAGACAGTCTGGCTGTCTCCCACCTGCATGCTTACCTGCTATGCCTGCCCACTTCATTCAGATAGCCAACTGGTTTGGGCAGAAGAAGGTCTTTCATCCTTCCCCAGAGTCAAGGGCTAAGTGGGAAGGGAGAAACAGTCCCCAGAGAGCTGAGAGCAGAAGCAGTCATATCAAGGTCACACCAAAGCCTGCAGGAAGGGCAGGCCACGCCCACGTGGAGAGTGCCCTCACCAGGCCAGCCTGGTCACTTTCTCCAGTGTACATTGGAGAATCCCATACCAGGTCACCTCCATCACCAACAGTCCCTACTCTGGGAAGGTGCCATTCTGAGGGCCAGGAGTCTGAATATGAGTCACTCTGGCTGCTATGGCCCCTCCTAGGGCTTGGGCATCACATCCCGACCAACAAGGCTGGACCACGCAAGAACTCCATTAGCCATGTGGAGACAGAGAACATATCTCAGGGTTCCAGAGATTTCAGACTCCAAGTCCAGGAGGACAGTCAAGTTCCTCCCCTTACCTCTCTGCCCATGGTCACTGATGTCTCATTCCTTTTGTAAGCTTGGTAGCCAAGCCACAGGGAGTCAGAAACCTGCCAAGAGCTGAGGTTGTGTCTCCTTGGCAACAGGCACATCCTGGAAGGAGGAAGAAGGAGGCAGTAGGGCTAGTTAACAGAACAGATAATCCCACCGTCCTCCACCTTTGGCAGCTCTGCCCTCTTACGCAGCACCGTGGAGCAGCAGATCGGTCAGAAGGTAGACCATCAGAGGAGAAATGAGAAGCAAGAAGACACAAGAGCATCCTCAGGGAGAAGCTAACATTTACGGAATGTCCACTATATGCCAAAAACTGCATAGATGTCTGCATTAATCCTTACTCTATGCCAAAAGGCAAATGTTACTGGTCAACTCTATTACCAAGGAAACTGAGGCTTGGGAAGAACAATCTGCACAGGGTCACAGTTCACTCAAGTGGCCAACGCTGTAATTTAGACCCCAAACTGTCTACTCCGCAGGTTGGGTTCCTATGCTGTGTGCTGTCGGTTTCCAGGTAATTTGCACCTGAGGGAGTTAGGTAACCAACTGGTCACTCATAATCAACTACAAACCTACTATGTCCTGAACATTATTCTAGTGGCTTTGGATATTTATTGGTGAATAATACTGGCAACATACCTTCCATGTTGACATATAACAAGGCATGCTCATATAAACACGGCGGTAAAGTTCTTGTGTGTGAGAAAAATCCCAAGTGAGTGGGAGAAGAGGGGAGGCATTAGGGGAGTTTGTGAGTGCCTGGGTAGAGGCAAACTGCTACTTTAAGTAGGGTGGGCAAGGGTGCTCAACCCCCAAGGGGGAAATATATTTTTAAAATTTAAAGTAGGTGGAGTATCCTTGAACCTCAGTTTCTCATCTCTAAAACGAGTATGAAGCTTACGTTTACTGAAGTTGAGTTTTAGCAGTAATGGATATCTCACAGCTATTGTATTAAACTTGCCACAGTGTCTGGCATGGAATCTGCCTCCGATAAATTAGAAATCTCATTATTAATAAATACCAAAATTGATGATGGAGTGGGTTCAATTTGGTGTCAAAGCTCCCATGCTTCCCCACAGAAGTGCCTGGAACGACCAAGGGCTGTGCATGTAGAGATATGGAAAGCAATGGCTACCCGGGATGCTGGCAGGTGAGTGAGAAAGAGAGGACAGGACCGCAAATAGCCATCAAGGAGCAGAGCCCAGCTCCCTGGCCCTGAGGTATGCCAGGTTTGGCACAGTGCTCACAGGATACCATTGTCAAAGAGATAAGGTAAATGAACAGGATGGGCATGACGTCGGCTCGGCCACACAGAGCAGAGGTTGCTGGGAGCCATGGCACTTTTCTAGACCATCCCCATCAACACTAACAGACTCCTCAAGCTGTTAGTGCTGAGGCGCCTAAGAGGTCTTCTAGTTCTGCCCCATACTTTGCAGACAGGGAGACTGAGGAGCATAGACTCTGTGACCCATATGTCCTCCCCTGGGCCCACACTGCCCATGGCTCTTTTGAAGACCTCGGGCCAGGCCACTACTACTCCCCACCTCCTTTCCCAGAAAGCTCCAGTGTTTCAGAAGCATGCGACCACAATTTTGAGAATAAGTGGGTAGCACTGGTTCCTCCCACCAAGTGACAGAAAACCACACGCTTAATCCTGGAAGCATTCCATGACAAAGGCACCCACTCTAGGAGATACCTGGGTAGCTGAGAGTAAGGAGGCAGGGTCAGGAACTAGCAAGGAGAGGAGCAAGGAGAATCTGTCACCATTCCTAGGGAGCTCTGCTCAGAGCCCATGCACCCTACCACCACATCAGCTTGTGGGAAAGAAAACCCAACTGAGGCCACTTATTCACATAAAGGTAGCTCCTCTGCATGGCCAGTCCTCTGCATGGCCAGTCCTCTGTGTGGCCAGT